CAGACTCAGGACTAGACCTGGAAGCTGCAGCAAACACCTAACTCGACGCAGAGACCTAACCAGGCTCCGCAGCCGGAGGAGACTCAGTAGTGAGGGTGTACAGGCTCGACCCCGGCCGACGGGTGAACGTCGCCAAGTGTCTGCCTGTCCGAGCACACGTGCAGTGGGTCACCCGCTGACTCGCAAGAGTGAAGTGGTCAACCCCCCTATCCTGTAGGTCAATGCCACTCACCAAGTTCGTAGAGAACAAGGGGAGGTAGAGACCTGACAGGGTGCCAGAGGGGGCTGCCAGACACGGTAAGACAGTGGAGAAGCGAGCAAGGACAGGACCCCCAGAGGGGTCCGCCAGGGAGAACGCAACCGGCCGACTAAGCGGCGCAAGTGTGGTGCGGTCTCGAAAGAAGGAGCGGGAAGCACCCGAGTCAAGGGTGAAGGTGTGTAAGGCCCGAGCCGACGTAGTACCTGAGAGGGCAGACTCACCAGAACCTGGGGCAGCAGACGCGCTAGCACCTAGAGCAGCAGCCTCACCAGCACCTAGAGCAGCAGTCTCAATGCCCGGGTCAGGCGGAACACACAGGTAACAGTCACCCTCAACACTATCAGCAACAGCATAGATGGCAGCAAGAATAGCATCAAAATCAAGATCAAAGATAGCAACCCCCGCCCTAGACAGCTCTCCCCAGCGAGGGATCTCAGAGGCCTCAGGGAAGTGGTGACGCCACGCGTGCGTCAGGCGGCCGAAGCAGCGCTGGGTGGAGTGCGGGCCCCCGCACTGCTCACCAGCGCGGTCGCCGGTGCGGAGAACGTAGGTGCAGGGACCCGTACCCCCAGCACGCTGACGCGCAGCGTACCACTCACGAAGCTACTGAGGGGACAGGGTCTAACGACTGCGCTGCTGCTGCTGGCGCGTACCTCCACCGGAGCCACTCCTCTGCGCAGAGCTGCGACCAGGTCCACTGCCGTTGCCGCCACCTCCGCTGCCTCCGCCGCCTCCACCACCTCCACCGCCTCCGCTCCCTCCGCCTCCGCCGCCGCCTCCTCCGCCTCCACTGCTTCCAACGACACCTCCACCCCCGCCACCACTCCCACCACCACCCCCACCCCCTCCACTGTCTCCACCACCACCTCCACCGCCCCCGCCAGCCCCTCCAGCGCCCTTGCCCCCCTTGCCCTTGCCGGTGCGGCGTCTCCCGCTCGGGGCAGTCGCAGCGCCGACCGACTCGAAACCAACGAGGCCGGCCGCAGCAGCAGAGGCAACAGATGGCAAGAGGGGGGAGGGGGAACACCCCTCAAAGACGGGGGTGCGAGGGTCACCACGAGAGGCTCCTACAGCGACTATGCTCTTCTCTGCTGCTAGGAGGGCCTTCTCGAGGAGGTCAACGGTGAGAGTGGTGGGGCAAACTGAGAGGAAGTGGTCCCTGACTACGCGGAGAGAGTCAGGGAGCCGGGTGACTATGTAGTAGAGGGTGATGTACATGGGGGGGGGGGTTCTTGGCGCAGAATTCAGCAGGAAGCGCAGCGCGGTAGCGAGTGTCACTAGTGCGGAGGTGCGTAATGAGGTCAGCGATTGTGGGAAAGGCAGCAAGGTCAGGGAAGAGGTACGGTAGCATGAGGCGGCTCAGTGCAGTAGTGGCAGGGGAAGAGTAGCGTGCAACTACAGCGTCGTACAAGGTCTGAGCACTCTTGTACTGGCTAAAGTGTGCACGCTCAGTGGTCGGTACGTGGGGACGCACAGCAAGGCGAGCAGCAGCATCGCGTGTGGCCCACTGTGAGCGAACAGTGCTGTCAGCAGTAGCAGGCGGGGCAGGAGAGGCACTAGAGGTGAGATCGAATAGAGAGAGTCCATCTGCCCTATCGCACTGGAGAAACGGCTGGAGATCATCGACCCAGACCTCAAAGTCAACGGCACGGCCCTCAGCATCAAAAGTAAGGACACTGGGGGTAGCCATGACTGCAGTGGCCTAGTAGGGAGTGAGCTCACCAGTCCGAGGAAGGAGGGCCGGGGCGCACCGGTAGGAACAGCAGCGGCTCAACAATAGGGCGGCTCGGCGGCTCAGCGGCTCGACGGTAGGGCGGCTCGGCTGCTGGGCGGCTCGATAGTAGGGCGGCTCGGCGGCTCAGCGGCTCGGCTGCTGGGCGGCTCGGCTGCTGGGCGGCTCGGATGTTGGGCGGCTCGGCTGTTGGGTGGCTTGGATGCTGGGCGGCTTGGCTGCTGGGCGGCTCGGCTGCTCGGCAGGTGGGCGGCTTGGCTGCTGGGCTGCTCGGCGGCTCGGTCGCTGGGCGGCTGAGCGGTGACAGGGCCGCTAGGGGAGGGCGACGGGGCCGCAGGTGACGGCGACGGGGCCGCAGGTGGCGGCGATGGGGCCGCAGATGGCGGCGACGGGGCCGCAGGTGGCGCCGGGGCTGCAGGTGGCGGCTGTGTGGCCGCAGGTGGCGGGGACGGGGCCGCTGGTGGCGGCGACGGGGCCGCAGGTGGCAGCGACGGGGCCGCAGGTGGCGGCGACGGGGCCGCAGGTGACGGCGACGGGGCCGCAAGTGGCGGCGAAGGGGCCGTAGGTGGCGGCAGCGGGGTCTCAGAGGGGCCGAAGTGGGCCTAGACGAGGCCGCAGAGGGGCTGCAAGGGGCCTAAACGGGGCCGAAGAGGGGCCGCAAGGGGCCTAAACGGGGTGGCGACGGGGCCGTAAGGGGCCGGAAAGGGCGCCGCGAGGGGCCGAAAGGGGGCCGCGCGAGGGGCCGTAAGAGAGGCGCGAGGGGCCGTAGAGGGCGGCGCGAGGGGCCGTAAGGGCGGCCAAAGGGGCCGTGAGAGGGGCCACTAAGGGCGGCTCGAAGGTAGGGAGGGCACACAGAGCGTGAATCGGGCAGGAGTGAAGCGCGCTCCGGGCAGGAAAAAAAAATATCGTGGTGGGCCCTAGGAAGCGTTCCAACTAGGGAACCTGCTCGATACCATGATAAAAAACGAGAATGGATGCATTGAGCAGAATGAGGAGTACAAGTAGTAAACCCTAAAGTGTTGTACCCCATATGAACTGCCCCACTACAGCCTACATAGACTATAGCATATATGCCTGACATAGTCCCCCTTCTACCTGAACTACGGGCAAAACCCTATAGTGCCCATGACGCCGAGTCCGGACAACCCAACGCCACGTGCACAACAATTCGCCGAAATTCTGCAAGCTGCGCGTACCAGAGCCGCCGAAGCAATAAAAAAAACCAATGTCATCGCTAAGCGCAATGCTGACCGCCACCGCCGCCCAGTCACGTACAAGTCAGGAGACTACATACTGCTCGACACACAGAACTTAAGACTGCTCGTCGTACCGAAATTACGACCCCGCTACTGCGGACCATTCCAAATCAGCCACATGATTACCCCGGTGACAGCCCACCTACTGTTGTCGACGGACTGGTACATCAGCCCTTCATTCCACGTCAGCCTGCTTCGCCCATACATCCCAACCACAAGCCAACTGCCTCGTCACCGCCCGCCATCCATGACTCGCCCTGCATCGGAGCCGATCATCGAGCCCGAAAAAATACTGAGCCATCGGATTCGACACCCCACGGGAATCAGGAGGATTGAATTTCTCGTTCGCTGGAAGGACCGGACGCGAACTGAGGATAGCTGGGTGCCCCTGGCCAACATCGAAAACCACCCTGCCCTGCAAGTGTACCTGAGGAGCCGGGGTTTCCGCGATACACATGCACTCGCGTAGCTGAGGGGGCTTCTTGAGGGGGGGGGGGGGGTAGTGTAAAGAATTTTCTCGACATTCCTTAGCGCACCCTGCAACACCGCGTACAGCAGCAGCCGTTGTTCGCCCGTTACTGCTAACGGGGCTTCGCTGACTTCGCGAGCACTGTTTCACCAAACCTCGCACTGCTGGACCGGCCGTGTCGGCCTACCGTACGCTTCGGGACTAGCCCAAGCCTCGCTTCCAGCGTAGCACTAGCTAGCTCGCACGCACCGCGTTACCGTTTGCATGTTTCGCGTATAAATGTTCGCTCATGCCTTTGCTCACATTTTGTACTCGTTTGACACCTTAGTGCAATTCTCGCTACTTAGATTCATTGCACCCGTAACAACAACTCATACCGTAACATGCCAGCAACCATTGGTGTACTCAGGTCACGGTATGAAAGTTTGTAGTTACCACAAGCGGCTGCGAACACCTAATTTCGCCTCGCACAGCAGGAGCGACTCGGCTGGCCTTGCAGTTTGCGGCGCGATCCCTACCGCGGGGGGCTGATTGGCAAGGGCTGGAAAGCAGTTTCGCGAAGGTGTCGTAACGGGTCATTTGGAAACACTGCAGACCACCATCGGATTCTTAGCATCCGACGGTTTAGCGTGCTTGACACTGTAACGATAGCGAACGCACACGCCATTTCGGCAGGTACGGAGGACCTGCCTCGCGTTTTCCGTGCGCGGGACAGCCTTCCCTCGTCGTTCCCCTTGCTGCAGCTGGACATGGATGACCACCAGAAGCAGCTGTTGGCTTCCCACTTTTTGGCGCCTCCGCCAAAATCCCCTCATTCAATTCTCCTCTTGCGTTGCGCTCAAATTCCCTCCCCACCCACCACTTCTGTTCGCGCCACCTTGGCGATTCCTTGTTGTCATCACGTCCTTTCCGCCACCTGCACAAATGCCACCACGCGAAATACTTCACTCATGGGCGCTGCGTTTGTTTGACACACACAGACCCCCCTTCCATCTAGGCAAGCCACGCGCCAACTGCCAAAGGTAGGAGGAGCAGTGTAGTAGACGTAGAAGCATCGGCGTTAGTTTTCTCGGTGCGCTGGCGATCGTTCGAAGTCGTCCGCCTAGATTGGCGACGCCAAGAAGGTGAAACAGAGTGTTGCACTCGGCGCCGCTATTGAGCAATGCTTTCGCGGCGCATTTGCGGAAAGAGGCGCGTAACGGTAACAGGGCATTCGTAACCAATAACGGAGGGCATCTCTCGGCGCTTAGCAACGCAGCGTGCGAATAACGTGATTAGGCCGCGATGATGACGGCAGCGGAGCTGGCGGCGTCCGGTTGGGCGGACAACGGGTCCCTGGGCTGGCCGCTGCAGGCGGTGCCGCGCGATGCGCGCGACGACTTGGATATCCTCGCGAGCATGGAGAAGCAGCAACGGTGAGTGGCGACGAACTACGGCAAATGGGGAAACGGGAGGAGCGATCAAAGCACATGATTCCATTCGTGCCAATTGCAGTGTCTTTTTTTGTAATTCTTGCAATCGCTACCCCGTCCCCCGTCCCCACGTCTTGACGTGCCGACGTCCCTACGTTTCAACATTCCCACACCTCCCCCTTCCCACCCCTTCCGCCCACCGTCCCCCTCCCTGCCCCCACGCGACCTCCTTCATGCGTGCAGGGGTCTTCATGTGAAGACCACTCGCAGCGCTATCCCGAACCACGCACCCGCGCAGCCCGCCACTCCGCGCACTCCGCGCACTCCCCTCGCGCCGTCCCCACGGGACTCATTTCAGTCGCCTCCGATGCTACCCCGCCACCACAGCGGCCCGATAGAGCCATCCTCGTTACAGTCACCCATTTACTGTCACACACCACAGCAGCTGAAGCGGGACCCTTTAGAGCGACACGTGTCAGACGAGCCTACAGCCTCCCCGCTCCCGGGCTCCGCCAACTCCCCCCGGACAAGCGCGTCGGGGGGGATTTCCGGGCTGCTCGCAGGCCTGTACGTCCGGACTCCCGTTGCCGAGCCTAACGCCGAGGCTCGGGGCAGGTCAGGGTCCCGTTCTCCGCTTCGGCTGCGCATGTTCGAGACTTCCCCAAAGCCGCGGAGACCCATCGAGCGCGGGAGATCGCTATCCCCGTACAGAGGCCCGCGGATGGGCGCGGAAGCCGACGAGGAACGAGCGATCGGCGGGGGCGGGAGCGTGCGCGGAAGCATGCGCAGAAGTTTGCGCGGGAGCGGGGTGTGGGATGGGGCGGGCGCGGGAAGCTCGTCCGCAAGAGGCAGCCGCGCGGGTTCCGTTTCCCCGCTCCCCTCCCGCTCCCCCTTGCGCCGGTCGATCTCCCCTCTGCGCGCCAGCGCTGGCGGGTTAATCGACATGCTATCTGGCCCCGTCACCCCGTCCGCCACGCCCTCCCGCCGCTTCCAGGCGCAGCAGGAGCGCGAGTGGGACGAGCGCCAGCAGCGGCGGGAGCAGGAGCAGGCGGAGGCGGGGGGGTTGCCTTTTGAGAGTATCGTCGCGGGCGCGAGAGACAGGCGCGCGCGGCAGCACGCGCGCAGCAGCAGCAGCAGCAGCAGCGTTCTTTGCGGCGCGAATGGCGGCGTGGGAGGGGCAGCTGTGGCCGATTCGGGCGAGATCCCCGTAATCTCCGGAGGTTTCGGCCAGGACCGGCAGACTCAGCAGGGACAGGGAGAATCAGCGGCGCCGCGGGCGAGTCCGCAAGAAGCGGCGTGGAGTCCGCAGGTCTCGGACGCGAGCCCGTGGGGCGGGCGCGGCGCGACGCCCTCCGCGCCGTCCGCCGCGGTGGACCATTTACCCTCGTTAGAAGCACTCTCGCGCTCGCCCCGGCGCGGCCGCGAGGCTCATAATAACGGAGGCGAGGAGAGCAGTAGCGAGGACGAGGGGAGGTACTACAAGGTTCCGGATATCACGGAGTATAGGAATAGGCGACGTCAGAGCGCGGGGAGTGCGGCGTCACCGGCGAGTAAAGTCACGCACGAGTATTTCCGGGGCGGCGGAGTTGACGTTTCCTTTGCGGACTTTCTTGCTGCGCGCGCCAGTGCTGCTACCGCTGCTGGTGCTGGTGGCGGCGTGAATGCTGCTGCTGCTGCTGCTGCTGGTGATGTTGCCGGTGGTGATGGTGGTGGTGGGTATGGTGCCAATACCGCGGCAGTTACTAGCGCGAACGAGGCTGGTGCGGGCGGGGATGCACCTGGTAGTGGCGCGGCGGGAAATTGGGGCACTGACGCTGACGTGGCAGCTGGCGCTGACGTAGCAACGGGGGCGCCGGAACGCGAAGCGGCTCCAGCTGGAGGGGAAGCGGGAAATACGGGGGAGAGAGGCGACGAGAATTTTGACTACTATGATTCAGATGCTGCTGGGGATGGTGTTGCGCCGTCAGTTGCGGCTGGAGCTGCGGTGGCGGTTGCGGTGGGCGCAGAGGCGGCCCACGGGATGGCGGCCGGGGAGACAGCGGGCGCGGATGACGGGGACGCGCGGGAAAGTACGCGGAAGCGCGGGGGAGGGCTTGGCGGAAGCTCGCGGAAGCACCAAGCGCGATGGGGATTGGCGGGAGGGAGGGATGGGGACGGGGAGGATGGCGCGGGACAGGCGGAAGAAGGCAAGGCGGAGTCGAGGCGGAGTCTGCGTGCACAGTGGAGCGCGCGAAGGTCAAGGCGCGGGGAGGGGGGAGCGCATGGCGGAAACGAGCGGGGGAAGGGGGCGGCAGGGGGCACGCGGGAGGACCAAGGGGGCTTGGAGGGTTCCGCCATAGGGGGAGATCAGGATATGGCGGGGGAGGAGGCGGAGGGGCGAAGGAGACAGGTCAACGAAGGGCAGGGGGAGAATGACTGGGGGGCTGCGGAGGTTGGGGGCCGAGGGGAATGGTCAGGGGCCGCGGAAGGGTATGGGACTGGGGATGAGGGGGAAGAGGGGGGCAGGGAAAGAGGAGGAAAGATGGAAGGGTGGGCAGAGAGGGGGGCCTATGGGGACGAGCAGGGAAGGGCACATGGAGAGTGGGGAGAAAATGACAAGGGTGGGGGTGGGTATGAAGATGATGGGGATGATGGTGATGATGGGGAAGACGGCGGAGATGGCATGGCGGAGTGTGGGCAGGATCTGGCGCGGTCTGGGCATGGCATGGCGCGGTGGCAGGAGCAGGAGCAGCAGGAGCAGGAGGGGGAGGAGCAGGAGGAGCAGGAGGAGGAGGAGGAGGAGGAGGAGGAGGAGGGAAGTGCTACGCGGGTGGTGTCAGGGAAGCGGAAGCGAGAGCAGGGAGAGGCGGAGGGGGAGGGGGAAGGTGAGAGCGAGAGGGGAAGGGGAAAGGGGGAGCCCAGAGAGGAGGGTGTGAGGGACGAGGGTGAGGAAACAGGGCGTGGGTACGCGTATGGCGCAGGGCGGGGAGAGTATGGTGGAACGGGGGAGTATGGTGGAACGGGGGAGTATGGTGGAACGGGGGAGTATGGAACGAGGGGACAGTATGGGGCGAGTGGGGAGGACGATATGGTGACGATGGGCATGTCAGCGGAATGGGATGGGGGCATGGCTGCTGCTGCGGCTCTTATGGCCTCCGGAGGGGCAGCAGGGGACGGCACTGCATCGAACACGGCCTCTGCCGCCAGTGCTGCTGCATCCCCGTTACAAGCCTCTCCGTTTCAAGCCTCCTCTCCCTCTCCAAGCAGCACTGCTGCATTTTCTGACCTGTCCTCGATGATGCCACCGGTGTTCCTCCCGCCTCCTGCTATTCAGCAACCCACACCACCACTCCCCACCGCCTCCAACCAGATTGACGACTGTGACTGCGAGGAGGACCCTCTACCACTCGCCTTTCTCCTCCGCGCCCACCACCCCCACCTGCTTCCCCCTGCTGCTGCTGCTTCTGCTGCTGCTTCTGCTGCTGCTGCTGCGCCCTACGCCCCTGCGCCCCCGCGCCCTCTCACACACGGGTTGTGGCGCAGAAACCACTCCGCCCTCACCACTGCCGCCCTCTCCTCCGCTGCTGCCGCCGCTGCTGCTGCCTCTGCCTCTAGCGCCTCTGCTGGTGCGGATGCGCTGCTGCCTGTCCCTCGCTCCGTACTAAGCCGCACCGTCCGGCCTCCCTTTGCCTATGCCGCTGCTGCTGCTCCTGCTGCCACCCACCCGCCTCCTCCTGCTGCTGATACTGACCCAGCTGTTGCTTCAGGTGCTGGCGGTGAGGGAACGGAACCAGTTGCTACCGTTGCCTTCGCTGCAGCTCCCAACACCGTACAGCCACCATTGAAAACAACAGCTGCTGACACCCCTGCTTCAGAGAAAACGCTCACCACGTTAGAGGATTTTCAAGACTCACCACACAAGCAAGCCCCCGTAGAGCCAACTAAAGGTCGCACCCCGGTGCCATCTACAGGGGAGAATCTTGACTCCTCCCAGAATGCGCCTGCTGCATCTGCAGAGGCGCATACAAGCACAGACGTTGCCATTCCTCCACCTGACTTCGCTACAGTCACACCGCAGCAGCCCAGCGTAGCTTCGGTGCTCCCCATCCTGGTCGCCTACGCCTCCCGACCCGGAGCCTTGGGCCGAGCCTCCATGCTCTACCGCATGCGCAGCTCAGGCGTCTCTTCCATGCATGCTTCTTTGGCCAACCACGACGCGACAGCTGGCGAGGGGATGGAGGCGGGGGCGGTGGCACAGGCGCTGGAACGATTGGGGGAGTATGGGGAAGGTGGGGGAGGGGGGATGGGGGGGAGGGGGAGGGGGAAGGGGTGGAATTATGGGGGGGAAAGGTGGGGATCATGAGATGTGGGAGTATAGCGAGGAGGATGCGAACGCAGCAGCAGCAGAGGCGTTATCAGTGTTTGGGTTTCCTTTTTCTCTTGAGGGATTCGCTCTGGGTGGTGGTGGGGAGGAGGAGGAAACGGTGGAGGGGGAAGGAACGGCTGTAGCGGGAGGAGGAAAGGATACAGTCGGTCTACCTGTGCTACAGCCGGGGGAAATATATTCCATCCGAGGTGTATTTGATGTGGAGGGGAGCCAGGGGGAGGCTGCAACTGGTGACGGTTCTGCTGGCTCTGCTGGTTCTGCTGGTGTGGCTAGTGCTGCTGCTAGTGCTGCTGCTGGTGCTGATGGTGATGCTACTCCAGGCGAATTCGGTGACAGTGCGAGTGTGACTGTAAACGGGGCTCAGTTCTCCTTCCACGCGGGCAGCGACGGCAGAAGTTCCAGCCATGCTGACGCGGCAGTGGGTCCGGATGACGTGGACGGTGAGCTGGATGAGGTGGCAGTGGAGGCGAGTCTACGTCAGCTTGAGCTGGCACTAGAGCAAGGGCTGTTACCAGATGAGGTGGAGGCATTGAGGAGAGAGTTAGAAGCTCTGGTGGAGAGAGGTACACGGAGGGCGAGGAGAGGCTCGCAGGGGCAGGAGGGTGGGGAGGCGGAAAGGAGGGCTGTGGTTGGGACGGGAGAACGGGAGGGGGAAGGGGAGGTGGGTGTGATGAGGGGAGAGGTGGAGAGGGAAATGGGGTTGGGGGAAGAGGGTGGAGACGAGTTGGGGGATGGGGCCGAGGGGGATGGGGTTGAGGTGGAGAGAGAGGGGAGTGGAGGTGAGAGGGAGGAGGAAGGGGGGAGTGAGGAGGGGGAGGGGGGATTTGGAATGGAGATGGAGAGGGATGTGACGCCGTACCATGAGATGGAGGGAGGCAGGGAGGGCAGGGAGGGTGGGGAGGTGGAGAGGGAGCGAGAAGGTGAGGTGGAAAGGGATGTTACTCCGTACCATGAGATGGAGGGGGACAGAGAGGGCAAGGAGGGAGAGATGGAGGCAGAGAGGGAGAGAGAAGAGGAGGAGGTGGGAGAAGGGGAGACGGAGAGGGAGGGAGAAAGGGAGACGGAGAGGGAGGGAGAAGGGGAGATGGAGAGGGAGGAGGAGAGAGCAGGCGGTGAGTATGGTGGATATGATGGGGATGACAGGGAAGTAGTGGAAGGGGAACAGAGTGTGAAGGGAACGGCTGGTGAGATGGATGAGGCGGTTGAGATGGGTGGGGAGGGTGAGGAGAGGGGTGAGGAGGCTGAGGTGGGGGTTGGTGAGCAGGCTCAGGAGGCTGGAGGTGAGGAGGTGGGGTGCGGTGAGGAGGAGTGCAAGGATGCTGAAGGTGAGAAGGTGGGAACAGATTTGATAAACCACAAGCCTTGCTTACCAGCCCAGCTCATTCCTGCACTCGCCAAGCCGCCTCTCCCGCCGTCCCTCTCTGCCCACGTCGACGCGCTCTCTGCTGACCTGGACGCTGAGTCAGCAGCGGCTGTAGCGGCGGCTGCAGCAGCGGTGTCAGCAGAGGTGGAGGAGATGGGCGGCGGCTGTAGCACCAGCTGTAGCACAGCCAGCAGCCCAAGCCGCCTAGGTCTGGGTCTCATGGGCGGCATGAGCATGAGCAGCACGGGCAGTGGCGGGGGGGTGCTGGGCGGAGGGATGGGAATGGGAAGCAGCCCTTTGAGTGTTACCGGTGGCGGGATGAGTCCGGGTAGGGCTGCTGGTGTTGCAGGGGACAGGGGCGGCAGTGGTGGTGGTGGAGGAGGAGGAGGAGCAGCGGGAGCAGCGGGAGAGGAAGGAGTCGGTACAGGAGCAATTGGGTCACACGCACAGGGGCGCAGCGGGGGTGGGGGAGCGGGAAGCGGAGGGGGAGCAGGGGGGGAGAAGGCGCTGTACACGGTGGGGCACTGGCTGAGGCAGGTGGACATGGCGGAGGCGGAGGGGCGCCTGCACGTGGCAGTGCGCCTCTTTGAGCTGGCCGAGCGCTGCCACGCCCAGCCCGCCACCCTGCTCCGTGTTGCTCGCTCCCAGTTCATGCGCCGCCACCGCTACTCCCTCTCCCTCTCCGCTGCTACTGCTGCTGGTGCTGGTGCTGCTGGTGCTGGTGCTGCTGGTGCTGGTGGTGCCGCTGCTGCTGCTGGTGGTGTTACTGCTGGTGTTGGTGCTGCTGGTGCTTCTGGTGGTGGTGGAAATGGGGCTTTTGGTGTTGTTTCTGCTGGGGCGTCACCGCTGCTTTCCCCGGCCGCATCACCGCTTCACACCGCTTTCCACCGCCCGTCATCCTCCCCTCCTCGCTCCCCCCTCCCGCTCCCATCCGCCAACCCCTCATTCTCCCCCCTCTCCTCCCCTCCTCGCTCCCCTTCCCCCTTACCTCCGCCCGCTTCCCTCTCCGCCGTCCCCCTGCCCGCACCCCCGTCCCTCTCCCCCTTCCCCACGCCCCCGCCCCCCTCCCTCTCCGCGTTCCACTGGCGGCAGCAGCCCACAGAAGGTGGAAGCGAGCGGGGCACAGCAGGGGCAGGCGGGCAGGCAGGCGGAAACGCCTCTAGCCTTGCTTCCTCCCCCCCGCACTCGCCCCTCGCTGCCACTACCCCCGGCTCCTCCCCCCGCTCGACCTTCTCTCTCTCCCCTGCTGATGCCCTCCCAGCACTGCCCAAATCGTTTGGGTTGCGTAGGGGTGGTGTGGGCAGGCGGTTGGTGTTTGAGAGTGGGGGAGAAGGGAGGCGTGAGGAGGAAGAGGAGAGAGGAGGGGTGTGTGAGGGAGAGGGGGAGGTAGGTTCGTCTGCAGCCTCGAGTGTTGTCGGGAACCAGTTGGGGCGTGAGAGTGAAGGGGAAGGGAGGCGAGCAGGGGAGAGAGGAGAGGAGGGGCAGAGGGAGGAGGACGTAGGCGCTTTTGCAGCTGGTGCTGCTGGGGATGATAGCAGTGGTGGCAGCAGTTGTGATGACGATGGTGGTGATGATGGGAGGAGAGAGGAGGGAGAGGGTTTGAGTATGCAGGGCGATGGAGCGAAGGGAGAGGAGATGAGGGAGAATGGAGAGGAATGGAGGTGGGAGGAGGTGCAAACGAGGGTAGACGGAGGAGTGGAGAAGGGTGAGGGGAGTGTTGGGAGCGGTGCAGAGAGTGCAGATGTGGAGATGACTCAGACGAGGGGAGGAGAAAGGAGGGAGGGTTGGGAGGAGCAGGAGAATGGCTGGGAGCGTGCTGACCGGGTACAGGCATGGGCACATGAGAACCTCCCAGGGCCGGCACCAGAAGAAAACAGGAGCGGCAATTCCCGGACCGGAGGCAACGGCTCGTTCTCAGGCTCGGAAGCAGGCTTGGAGTTTCCAGAGGGTAGTGGTGGGAACAGTGGCAGTGGAGGCAAGGGCAGTGGGAGGAGACACGGAACCTTGGCCGATCAGGCAAAGTGGGGAGAGAGAGAGGCGGGGGGCAATGATGCTGCTGCTGCTGCTGCTGCTAGCGCTCATGGCGCTGGTGTTGGTTCAAGTGGCTCTGGTGGTAGTGCAACTGGTGTTGGTGCTGGTGCAATGGATGGGGTTGAAGCAAGCAGAGTGCAAGTCGATCCAAATGGGAGGATCACAGAGGAGCGAGAGAAAGAGCTGCTGGAGGTAACAACGAAGGGCGGTGAGGGCAAGGAGGAAGGAGCGGAAGCGGGTGAGAGAAGAGCGGAGAAGGAGCAAAACGGAGAGCGAAAGACAGAATGGGAAGCGCGGGAAACTCAAGGGGGCAGAGATGAACCCATGCTATGTGAGCTGACTTTTGAGTCGACTCAAAAGTCAGCGCGGGAACCTCAAGGGGGCAGAGATGAACCCATGCTATGTCAAGCCACAGCCGCAGCAGCCACACCAGCAGCAGCATCAGCATCAGCAGCAGCAGCAGCAGCAGCAGCAGCAGCAGCAGCAACAGCAGTGGCGGCGGCAGGGAGAAGGGTGGCGGTGAGAGAGGGGAGTGTGCTGGCGAAGCTGAAGCGCGCCACAGCACAGCTGAGGCAGCTCAGGGAGAACTACCTGGGGGAGGGCCAACCTGGGGAGGCTCAACTGAAAGAAGACCAACAGGATCAACAGGGGAAGGCTCAACTGAGGGAGGGTGCAGGTGACAGTGCAACTGCAGCAGGAGCAGAACTGGCATCAGCGCCAGCACCAGCAGCAACAGGATCACCTGCCGTGCCTGCGCGGCCTTCCCCCCCCCAATCATCCATCCCCCTCTCCGCCTCTGCCTCCGCTGCTGCTGCTTCAGCCGCGGCTCGCCTTGCCGCTCGCACCAGTGGCAGCAACGGCAACCCTCTGGAGGCGAGGAGCCATGCGGCAGGAACAGGGGCAGGAGGAACACTCCTCTCAGCAGGAATGAAGCCTCAGGCATCTGCGGCTGCTGCTGCTCCTCTTGCAGGAGGCACCTCCCTTGCGGGCGGCACTGCACCTCCTCCTCCTCTTGGAGGCACAGCAACGCTTGCACGGATCTCAATCCCAGGCCTCACTGGGCCAACACCAGCCCAAGGCTTGTTCGGGACAGGACCAGTTCCAATGCCAATCTCAATGCCAATCTCAATGCCGGTCTTAGGACCGCATTCAGGGCCGGTTTCGCCAGGAGCGAACGCCCCTGCGTCTCCCTTCGCCCGCGCGTCCTCCTCCTTCTCCCTTGGCCGCATCCCCTCCTCTGAGTCCCTCCGCACTGATCCTACCTTCTCTGTTTACGTTCGGAGGTCCGGCTCGGCCCGAACCTCGGCCTCGGCTGCGGAGACCGAGCCTAGCGAAGGGGTGGTGGAGGGAGGGATGGATGGTGGGATGGAGGGAGGGATGGGAGGGGAGGTTGGTGGGGATGGGGGAGAGGCGGATGCTGAGAGCAGGGAGAGGGGAGTTGGAGGAAGAGGAGTGCGCAGGGCAGAAGAGGAGGAAGGGAGGGAAGCACGGGAAGCTGGGTCCGCAGGGGATGGGTCAAGAGCTAATTGTGTGAAAAGAGCGGAGGAGGAAGGGGAAGGGAGATCAGTGCAAGCGGAAAGAATCCAGCCTCTTTCATGCTCTGCTGCTGTTGTTGCTGCGAAAAATCATGCTGATGCTGGTCCTGATGATGCTGATGCTGGTCCTGATGATGCTGGTCCTGATGATGCTGATGACGCGGATAGTAATGCTGATACAAGTGCGGATGAGGCTGCTGCTGCTGCTGCTCCTCCTCCTCTTGCATCCTCCCCTCTTTCGTCACCACACCACACCCTCGCCTCCCTCTCCTCCCCAGCGTTCATCCCTCCTCTCTCCCTCGACGCCACTCCTGCCAGCAGTGTACTCTCCTACCCTGACGCCTCCCTTCCTGCCAGACCCACTGCTGCCCCTGCTGCCGAAGCCACTCCTGCTTTCCCTGCCACAGCTCATACAGCAGTTGGTGCGAGTGGTGTGGGTGGTGCGAGTGGTAGTGTTGGCATTGGTGCTGGCAAGCCACGTTCTCCCCCTCTCTCTTCCACCTCTACTCGCCCCCCCGCTCTCTCGATCCCCTCTCGTGCCCCAAGAGCAACGGCAACACAACACCAGAGCGAGAACACACATGCACAGGCAGCCGCACAAGCAGCACGAGTCACGCCACTCCTACCGACTGCAGATGCAGCAGCGCAGCCAGCAAGAGCACCAGCCACGCCACAGGCACCAACAGCCGTGGCTACTTCTGCAGGTGGGCCAGGGATCCAGCCTTGGCTACCAAAGCAGGCATCCACTCGCCTGGGATCGGCTACGAAATCAACCACGGCAGGTGCAGGTGGAAGGGCAGCTGCGCCTGCACCAACAGCTACGGCTGCTTCTCCTGCCCTGGCTGCTGCAGCTGGAAGGGCAGTCAGCGCAGCAAAGCAGGCCCCTCGATCACCTCCCTTTGGCTCCTCCTCACCCCGCTCCACTTCCCCCAAGCCCTCCTCCACCGCTCTGCACTCCTCCCCTGTCAGGACACGGACACCTCTCTCCCACGCTCTTCATTCCCCTCCCACTCGCCCCCGATCTCCTACTGCCTCCCGCTCTCCTTCTCCCTCTGCTCGCTCTCCCCCGCTCTCTGCTCGCTCTCCTCCCCTCTCTGCTCGCTCTCCCCCCCTCGCTGCCCGCTCTCCTCCCCTCTCTAATCGCTCTCCCCAGCGTCAGCCACAGCAGCAGCAGAAGCAACAGCAGCAGCAGGGCGGCAGCAGGCATGCTGACAGCAGGGCAGGACCTGGACCAGCCAGGACCATTCATGACTCTCCTGCTGAGGCAGGTGTATCTGAGGCCATATGTGGGGTCGCATATGGGGTAGGCATGCATGAGGTTGGCACATCTGGGGGAGGTGTATCTGTGGGAGGTGCAGGTGCAGGTGAGGTGAAGCGATCGTGGGGTGGGTGGAGCAAGGGGTCTTCTGGTCAATGGATGAGTCAACTGAAGTCAATGGAGGAAGGGATGGGTCAATTGGAGTCAAGCAATGGAGAGACGAGTCAACCTAAGTCAACATACGGAGAGACGAGTCAACTCCAGTCAATGGAAAGAGAAACGAGTCAACCCAATCCATTATATGAGGAGACAAGTCAAATCGAGTCAACACATGGAGATACGAGTCAACCTGAGTCAACGGAGATGGAGACAAGTCAACCAAAGTCAACAGAGGGAGCAGTGCAGCAGGGGGGTGGGGTCGGGAGGTATGGGGGGATAGGGAGAAACGGAGGTGGTGGTGGTATTGGTCGGTGTGGAGGAGTCGGGAGGTTCTCAGCCTCTGCTGCCACCCCTTCGGAGTCCTTCCTCATCCTCCCCCCTGCTCTGGACCCTAAGGATACTATGCATACCCATTTGCACCCACCACACACACCCCATGCACCACACACACCACACACACCACGCACACCCCACACACCACCTGCCCTCAGCTCTCCCCGTTCCTCCCACCCCCTCTCCCCTCGCACCCCGCTGCGAAACCTCTCCCCCTCGTCCTCTCATCGCTCTCCACCAATGGGATCGCGCCACGTGGAGTCGCGGTACATGGCATCGGCCATGGCAGCAGCAGCGCCGCCCGCCTCGCCCGCCATTGCCATGGCCATGGGCGGCAGTCCAAGGGCGTACACCCACTCCATGCGCGGATCGGGCGGCACGGGCGGCATGGGCGGCACAGGCAGCCCATCAGACAGCACCCAGAGCTCTCTGCTGCTCCGAACCAGCGGCAGCTGCGGCAGCGGTGGCTTCGCCCTGCCTGCTGCTGTTGCTGGCAGTGCTAGTGGTACAGGCAGTGGGGGTGGCGAGAGGAGGGGGAGGAGCAGGGAGCAGCAGATGGCAGCGATGGTGGAGAAGTGGCCTACGAGCCTCAGAGGCAGTGGTCCTGCTGTGGGTGTGGTGGGGCGAGTGGGGGAGACGCACAGGGGTGCAGGTGCCAGGGCACGGCCTGCGTGGGGTAGTGGGGGTGGGTCGAAGCCAGCTTGGGGCAGTGGGCCTGGGGCAAAGAGGTGAGGGACAGTGGGGAGGGAAGAAGGAAGAGCAGGGAGCAGCAGATGGCAGCGATGGTGGAAAAGTGGCCTATGAGCCTCAGAGGCAGTGGTCCTGCTGCGGGTGTGGTGGGGCGAGTGGGGGAGACGCACAGGGGTGCAGGTGCCAGGGCGAGGCCTGCCTGGGGTAGTGGGGGTGGGGCGAAGCCGGCTTGGGGCAGTGGGCCTGGGTTTAGGAGGTGAGGGATAGTGAGAGTCGAGGAGAGGAGCGGAGAGGGGAGGGGAGGAGAGGAGAGGAGAGGAGGGGCGAGGCGAGTAACGAGGCGAGGTGAGTATGGGTGGCTGTCTGGACCAGACGTGTGCGGTGGCAATTTCAACAGACGGGAGCAGGGAGGGGAGGTGTGAACGAGGGCGCTCTCTAGAGCTTTGCCTAGGTCGACTAGGGTGTTGTAATAAGTGCGAGCTAGGCTCGTGCAATGACTAACAAATCACTTGAACAATGTAGTGGTGAGGGAAGGGGCGGACAGGTGCCTTTGACTTGCCTGTTGACCCGTGTGTGTGTTGCTTTCTAGTTTGCAGACACAAATGCTTGCATTGCATTGCATGTACAGTGTCTTATGTTTCCTGAAGTTGAAGTACGTACGGTACATAGATATCTCCTGTGCACTTGCACGATACAACATACCGGTACAAGCCCTCCTTAGCTCCACTGTCTGTAACCCATGGCACAGCACGCAACAAGAGAGCACTCCAGTAGTCTGCCTGCCACGCAAGTCCGGTCTGGTGTCAGCTGAGTTGGAGATCTAGAGACAGACTGACCTTCAGAATACTTGGAAATCAAGAAGCACATACACACAGACAGACTGACACTCCCTGCTCTCCGCCAAGATTGCTGAACTTGCTGAGCCCAATGCTACGGTACCAACTTGAAGACACAGCAGAGCAGAGCAGGGAATGGAATGTCAGGCAATATGAGGACAGACACACCGACATTCCCTGCTCCCTCCCTCGCCTGTTGCGGTAACAGACAGCACTAGGATAGCAGAACTCCCATCCCCATGTCTCCCTGACGCTAAGCACCAACACCAGCACTTCCCTCCCATCTCTCCCCGACTCTAAACGTCAACGGCACTCCCATCCCATCCCCATCTCTCCTTGCGGGGACGTGGTAAGTGTGCATCAAGGCCGGCACCCTTCGCCCATTGAGGTAAAAAGCAACAGAACTAATGGCAGTAGTGTCAGCAGAACTCCCCCCCACCATCTCTCCCTCACTGTAAACGTCAGCAGCACTCCCCTCCCTCCCCGACTCTAGACGTCAGCAGCAGCACCCACGTCTTCATCTCGCCTCACAGGGGCGTGGTATGAATGCCGGCGGGCGGCATCCCTCGCCTGCATGCCGTGGAACAGCGGGCCGAATGGCCGCATGGGGACAAACCGCCCCGCCCCACGTGTGACGTTCAGCCGCCCGTGTCGCCACACCACCCTGCCCTGGCTCACCGTCACCTCAATATTGCCCTGCGGGATGGGAAGAACGGATGACAGCGGGGTGATAAGGCATGACAGGGGGGTGATAAGGCATGACAGGGGGGTGATAAGGGATGACAGGGGGGTGATAAGGGATGACAGGGGGGGGATAAGGGATGAAAGGGGGGGGATAAGGGATGACAGGGGGGGGATAAGGGATGACAGGGGGGGAAAATGACGGGAGAGGGGAATAATCGTTGGCAGGAGAAGCGAAGAAATGGTTGGGTCAATGGCAGCGCTGATGGTCCCATCATGTCCTGCATTTCTGTGTGTTAACTGTGTCCCACTCACCACTCATCTCACCTGCATGCGCCAACCCTCATAGACATTGGTGTCAATGCGGGAGTGGTGAGAGGTAGCACTGATGGTGGTGCTGCCTCGCGGATTCAACACGATCACATCAGCATCTGATCCCTCCGCCACCACGCCCTTCTGCGGGTACAGGTTGAATATCCTTGCGCTGAGGAGCACGAATGGGGGAAGGAGAGGGGGGAGGAGAAAAAGGAACTTTAAGGAGCCTAAACAATCGTCCGCATCTGAGCCCCCAGCCACCACAGCCTTCTGTGGGTACAGGTTGAATGTCCTCACGCTGAGAAGCATGGACAGAGGAGGAGGGAAGAGAGGTAGGGAAAGGGGAAGGGATGGTGGGGACAGGGCTCGCAGTTATCTATGGCATGGTGTAAGGGGTCAGCTTGGGATGGAGAGGATTCTATTTTTGAGGCGCCTCAAAAATAGGATGGTGGGAATAGGGCTCGCAGTTATCAATGGCATGGTGGAAGGGGTTAGCTTGGGATGGAGAGGCGGGGAGTGGCAGGCGATGGTGCTCATGCTGATGATCTTGAAAGGCTGGAAGATAGTTTAGTGTTCGGGAGAAGGGTAGGGAGGGATCGGAGCAGGTGGGGAAAGGGGAATACCTATAGTGCTGACTCACCATTTTGTGCTTCTGATTTACCATTCTGTGCTGCTGACTCACCACTCCGTGCTTGTGATGCGGACATAATCACTAGGTGACATGAGACCCGAATTCTGCAACCATGGGTTGAGACAAGAAAAAGAAAGAGAGGGGGAAGGGGGAGAGGGGGAAGGGAGAGAGAGGGAAGGGAGAGAGGGAGTGTGTGTGTAGACAGACATGGAACATGCATCAATACAACAATAAATAGGAGTTTCACCTCTTTATGGTATCACATCCCATGCCCACTCACCACCATCACCCATGCCCACTCACCACCATCACCCATGCCCACTCACCACCATCACCCATGCCCACTCACCACCATCGCCCATGCCCACTCACCACCATCGCCCATGCCCACTCACCACCATCACCCATGCCCACTCACCACCATCACCCATGCCCACTCACCACCATCACCCATGCCCACTCACCACCATCACCCATGCCCACTCACCACCATCACCCATGCCCACTCACCACCATCACCCATGCCCACTCACCACAATCACCCATGCCCACTCACCACCATCGCCCATGCCCACTCACCACCATCACATCCCAAGTTATGTGCATGCGCTCCTCTATGCCTGCACACAGGGAAAGAACACACGAGACATGCATGCATACGAGAACATTATTCAGCCCATGCCAGCCAGAAAGACAAGACAGAATGGAGTTGCCATGAGCACCTATTACATGGCATGTGGCTCGTAAATTGTTGCATACGTGCACATAGTGTTCCCAATCAACCCATCAACATCAACACGCGTCGAACCATTCACGCCGTCACGACACATCTAGCATCCACGGCATAAGAGTGCACGGCATGAGGGAACCATTCCCTGACCACCGGAATCATTCGATTCCCTTCCTCACCGTTGACCCCGTTGGGAATGAGGCGGATTTTTTAGTCGACTCAAGAATAGGTACCATCCACGTCACGTCAGAACCACTTCCCTGACCACCGGAATCATTTGATTCCCTCCCCTCACCATTGACCCCGTTGGGAATGAGGCGGATTTTTTAGTCGACTCAAGAATAGGTACCATCCACGTCACGTCAGAACCACTTCCCTGACCACCAGAATCATTTGATTCCCTCCCCTCACCATTGACCCCGTTGGGAATGAGGCGGAAGTCATGGCGCCCCTTGGCCTTCTGAGTCGAGTTGAAGGGGCAGTGGTCCGTCGCCACCAGCTGAGAGGGGGGGGGGGATGGAGAGCAAGCACACAGAAAGCATATTGAGGGTAGTGCGGGTAGTGAGGGTAGTGAGGAGAGAGGCAGAATATGCCTTCTGAGACAAGTTGAAGGGGCAGTGGTCCGTGGCGACCAGCTGAGGGAAGGGGAGGGAGTGAGGTCAGAGTGAGCACTGTGAGTGTGGAGAGAGGTAAGTAAGGGTAGTGAGGGTAGTGGTAGATGCCTTCTGAGACGAGTTGAGTGGGCAGTGATCCATGGTGACAAGCTGAAAGGGGGAGAAGTGAGGGAGCGGGAAGCGAGGGAGTGGGAAGTGAGGGAGCTGAGAGTGAGGGCTTGTGGAGGTGGTGAGGGTAAGGAAAGATGGATAAGGAGGTTGAGAACAACAAAGGCCCTGGTTGGGTTGCACCGTGACAACACAATGCATGGCCCTGGTTGGATGCTTGCATTGCTTGCAATGTAATGCAATGCAATGCAATGCAATGCAAGGGTGTACATGACATGCAAGGGTGTGCACATTCTTGAAGCATGATATCTTTCAAATGAACCATATACATGCAATGTACCAGTGGCAACGCGTGATAGAAACTTTGATTTGAGGCGCGTCTCATAACATGGAATCTCTCTGATAAAGCGCATACCTGCAGCGTGCCAGTGGCGAGTGCTGCTTTGACTGCTGCCACGTGCTCTGCTGAGCGGATGGGTGGACTCATCACAAACCTGCCGAGCGGGACAGAGGGGCATGGGAGAGGCGAGAGTGTCAGTAGGATGACAAACAGCACGCCTGCTACGCAATGCATGCATGAAGGTAAGATGGAAAAATACAACGTGAAACATTCTGACCTCTCCTCGAACAATAGAAGCAATGCCAAACGATGCATCAGGAAAAGTATCTGCATAGCACCAAACACAACGAGCGGATGCTTGGAGCAATGACACGCAGCAACTCAAGATCGAGCCCTGAATCTTGAGACATGGAGACATGGTGACGCACTGAGCGGCGTGCTTGAAATCAGGCGACCAGAGGTGGGAATCGTTGAGAGCAATGCCCGACACCACTGGCTCCCCCACCACGCGCTGCCCTGATATGAGCAACGCATCAAAGTAACAGATGCATGCAGGTATGAGTTGAGATTTCTCCACATGCACCTGCTTGAGGGTAGATGCGAGGGCTGAAGATGTGAGGGAGATCTCTTTGCCTCACCTCTGCACCTGGCGTCAGCCACCTCCCTGACTGCCCTCTCACTCATTCATGACACATCCACCACACCACGCACAGTCAGGGGTGCTATGAAACGGGCTCACCAGGCCACACACTCAGCGCCCCACCCCTCCCCTCCGCCTCACTCCTGCAACACCTCTGCGCCTCGCCCCTGCCACCTCTCTGGCGCCCCCCCTTCCTCATGCCATGCTCTGAGTAAATGCTCAGAGTAAACGGCTCACCAGGCCATGCAGTCATCCCCACCCCTATGCCCCACCCCCACACCCCCCCTCACCTCTTCGCCTGGCCTCGGCCACCTCCCTGGCAGCCCCAGCGCTCATGACATGCACCACGTACAGCGGCACGCCCACCACATTCGCCAGCCGAATGGCCCTGCCAGTCGCCTCCTCCTCCACCTGCACGCCACGGCACATGGGCAGAGAAGCATAGGGGTTGCTCTAGTGACGGTTGGGATAGGGGTGTTTGATGGCGGAGGGGAACAGGAGTTTCTCAGGCAAAAAACTAGAGCTTGAGACGAATGGGATGGCCCTGCCTGTCGCCTCCTCCTCCACTTGCACGCCACGGCACATGGGCAGAGAAGCATAGGGGTTGCTCTAGTGACGGTTGGGATAGGGGGGTTTGATGGCGGAGGGGAACAGGAGTTTCTCAGGCAAAAAACTAGAGCTTGAGACGAATGGGATGGCCCTGCCTGTCGCCTCCTCCTCCACCTGCATGCCGTGCCACGGTGCCAGGCAGAGAGATTTCGGGTAAGAGCAGGACAGGGGCTGCTTTGGTGACGGTGCTTTGGTCACATCTGAGTGAAGGAAACAACCAGAGCCCAGCCTGAGCCCAACCAGAGCCCAACCTGAGCCCAGCCCAGCAGGAGCAGCAGAGGGGGCAAAAGCTCTTGGGACAAAAGTGAACGCACGCACCTCAGGAGGGCGGGACAAGGGGTGGCCTTCGGGGCCGGTGATCCCAAGGTCGAATATGTGCTGCTGCCCCCACACCACTGCATCGCCGTTCTCTGCATGCACCTGTGCGCACACACGGCAAGAGGTGGGAATGGGGAGTTGAAGCTGAGATTTGGTGAGTCTGATGAGTTGCAATGAGTTGAGTAGAGTTGAGAAGGTATAGCTGTGATACCACTGCATGCACCTGTATACACCAACACACGCACATGCACACGCACGCACACGCACACTTACAAACACGCGCACGCTGCTCCCCTCCCCCACACCCACACCCATTCACCCGTTCACCACACCCCCCCCCCCCCCTCCCCCCTCCTCCTCCCCCCCACCCCCAAACCCCCCCTCCCCCCCCCCCCCCCAACCCCCACACGCGCACTCACAAGCGCACACCTGGGGGATGGCGCCGAGGTGCTTGCAGCGAGTGAAGCCATCGAGTAGCTGCTGGTCGTCCACCTGCAGAGCGCCCTTGTACGCCATGAAGAACTTGAACGAGTTGATGCCTGGCCGGGGATGAGTTGAATGAGTACATCAGGAGTTGGAGAGGAATCAGGAGCACTAGCAACGAAGGGTTTGAGACATCACCAGTCTCGTCCACCTGCAGAACGCCTTTGTATGCCACGAAGAACTTGAACAAGTCGATGCCTGAAGTGGGTATGCCGATCAAGCATTGGAATGGGTACGAGAGGAGGAGGAGCAATGGATAAGAAGGTGTGAGCCCAGCACAACCACACACATCCCTTCCCCTCCTCTCCCTCCACATACCATACCATCCCATCCCACCCCAAATAGCCCCACCTCACCTCACTTCACCCCACTGCAACTCACCTCGCTTCACGACCTCCTCCATGTCCCTTGCCACCTCCTCACTCCACCGTGTGACACCCATGTGAAACCCATAGTCCATCACGGCATTGCCCTTCGCCTTCCCCTCATACTCCTCCAGGATCCGCAGCAGATCGCCCCCTGAAGCGGGCGTGGCTCCCAGCACATAGTCAATGTGGAAGGTGGTGCCTCCTGCCAGTGCTGCTGCCTGGCCCGAATAGAAATCATCGCATGATTCTGTCCCCATGAAGGGCATGGCCAGATGGGTGTGCGGGTCGATGCCTCCTGGGGATAGAGAGAGAGGGACGGGAGGGAGGGGAGAGGGGAGAGGGGAGGAGAGAGGGGAGGGGAGGGGAGGGGAAGGAAGGGGAGCGGGCGGGGAAGTGTGGGTTGGAAATGGGGAGCGAGGGGAACAGGGAGGGAGCAGAAAGCATAGTCGATGTGGAAGGTGGTGCTGCCTGGCCCGAGTAGAAATCATCGCAGGACTCTGTTCACATGAAGGGCATGGCCAGATGGGTGTGTGTGAGGGTCGATGCTTCCTGGGGAGAGAGAAGGAAGGGGAGGTAGAGCAAAGAACGGGTTGTGAAATCTTGGATGTGCAGGGTGGCTCGGTCGCCTGGCAGCACTGTTGCCTGGCCAAAGTAAGAATGCCACATGAATTTGGCCTCCCTGAACTCGTCATAACAAACTCGACCCTATGAACTCAGTCCCGTTAACACGTCACAACGAACGGCGAGTAAGTGTGCGTGCATGTAGCCAATACATTCCGTGCAACCCCACGAACATTCAATGGCACCTGGCATGACGTATTTCCCGACAGCATCGATCTTCTGAACCCAATCTGGAACCTGCCAGCCACGTCAGCAGAGCCAAATCATAACAGACAGCATGAACACGTTAGTAGCAAGACGAGTCATACCGTATCACACCAAATTTGCAAAGCATGCAGCGAACGGTTAGAAAGGCATTCTTTGCACTCAATATTGGTGTGGTCATGTTTGGAGCGGAATTCGCTAGCAGAATAAGTCACCTTGATGTTTGGCCGAACGAGCTTGATGGTTCCATCCTCTATATAAATGTCTGCAGCGACTTCGCCGTCCGCGTTTACGACAGTGCCTCCTGCTATAAGCAGGTGCGAGCGAGCTTCAGGCGACGGCGAGATTACGTCAGAAGACACGGCGGAGCAGAATGGAGGTGACGGTGACGGTGACGTTGACGGAGCCGCCTGATACATGAATGAATCCACCAAGAAAACGTTAGCAGCTGACACATGTCGTGGATGAGGGAACGTGTCAATGCCATTGTAAAGCCCTCGATACTAGAATCAGTATGTGACAATGCTAGCTAGTGAAACCAAAGAAAGATAACACGCTACCACGGTTGCTCAACCTGGTAACTGGAGCAATGAATCACGCACAAAGCACCGACACGGATACAAGCAGAGACGTGAATTCCTTGCATTCTAGCTAGAAAAATCCCTTATCTATCGTGAAGCGCGGCAAGAGGCACGATACGGACTACATGAGAACCACTAGCGGCTGACAAACCTTGCAAGAAGAAACGGAAGCGACCAGCCAAAGCGCCAGGACCATCAAGCCCATGGCTTTCATGGCTGCAATCGCCTAGCGACGCGCGAAAAGCGAAATCTCACGACTGCTGACGAGCGACGAGCGACGAACGACGACCGACAGTCTCTTAGAAAAGCCTTCTTGGAATGACCGTATGCAGTAATGCGACTGGCTGGCGGCAACTCTGGTGGCGAGCAAGCGTGAAAGTGGGTGTCAACTGGAATTGCGACTTCGGTTTTGTTCCCGCCCCTTGGGAACTCAATTCCAACATAGTAAGTCCGGAGTGGTGTACATCTTCATTTGTGATGCCTTCATAAACATTTAGCGACAAATAGTTGATTTACAGTAACGAACATTGTAACAAGTCTTAGCTGTCTGGTTTGAGTATGTGCATGTCAGCCAGGGCTTCAGATTCGTTTTGGGGCACACTTTGTAATCAGGGTTGTAGGTGTAGTCAAGTATGATGTCTAGGGTAAAAAAAAAAATCCCTGACAAAGGCAGGGTAAATTTTTTTTTGGCCTGACGAAGGCAGGGTAAAATCTTCGTTACGCTGAAACATTCAGAGTAATTTTGGCCTTACACTGATTTCACCAGCAAATCTATTTTCGCCCCATGAGTTCACATTACATAATCACAATGTGCAATGCACCAGCTACATAATCCTTTGCACACATTCCAGCACCTGCAACTACTACTCATTCGCCAACAGGGTCAGAGGACTCTTGAACGGCTTCAGCGAAAATAGCCTCGCCCGGGTTTGTGCCACTGAAGTCCTTAGTCGCTCTCCGTAGCTTCTCTCCCCTGAAGATGGACACCACCTCGTACCAGTCCACGTCGTACTGTAGCAGGGAACAGCGCATCAAATGCTCCAGGGTGATGTCCGAGATGCTGCCACGGTCCCACGTCTTGATCAAATTCTGCTTGCTGAACCCCCTCTCACACTCGACCGTGCTCAGCGGTAGGACGGCAACTGCCTGCCACATCTTCATCAAGTTCGGGAACGAGTGCTGCCAGTCGTTGTCACAAAGCATGTTCCCGAGTGCCTGGTGAAAGTCCTCGTTGTTGTGTTGAGAGTACATTGTTGAGGTGAACATCCAGAGCTCGCTCTGTGCTCTGGTGTAGTCGAATCCTGTTGTACGGGTATAGGTTTACACGGGGCTATACTCGCAGCAATCGGGTGGAAGGGTGAGGATAAAAAAAAACAATCCAGGAGATACACAAGCGATCAGACGAGTAGTTATGAGAGTGTGCCGATCGTTACGACTGAATAAAGCAGAAGCAGATGGGAAAACAACGCTGAAGGGAATGGGCCAAAACAGTCAGGTACAAACCATGAGGTCTACGAGCATACATGGAAGCTTCTTCCTGTAGAGCTTGTGCAGTTGAGCCAGCCATTTTTTGAAGTTTCCCACACGTTTGGCGTCGTCGGGTACGTATGAGGCTGACCAAAATAGCTTACACCCCTCCAGCTCCTCCAGGTCTTTCATCCGCCACTCCAGCTCCTTGTCGACAGCACGCACAAACTTCAGCGACAGCTCGAAACAAGCCGTTACATCTCCGTCCGTCTCCTGCCCTTCGATGGGATTCTCGTGCAGCGTATAGCTGAATTCCACAAGGTTGCCGTCACTGTCCACGCCCTCTGCCTTCACCTCCCGCTTTTCCATCTTCTGATGACGCTGAATGAAGTCGTTCAGTGTCATCTTCTCTCCACTCCCGAAGTGATGATCCGGCTCAAAGTTTAAGTACCGGTTCTTGATGCGCATCCGTGTTTGGTCCACGAGATGAGACACGAGCGTGACGTCGATCTGTTCAGACAGTACAGACGACAGGGTTAGCAACACACCTTTCTGGGCGTAAGCAGTCTATATACTTCAGATTCGTTTACCTGCCGTTGCTGGAACCGTTGGTTCCGATGGTTCAGCTCCCACAACACGTCAGCAAGCAGCCGGAGCAACCACTGAAACTTGAACGACGTGGCGTTGTTGTACTCTTTGAGCACCACGATGGCTGCAGGCAGGATCTCGAGGAAGCATCGGACGGCCTCACCACGTGACAGCCAGCGAACGGTGTGTATACCTTGTGCCTCCAGGTTCGTCTTGCAGAAAACATGCTGAATGTTATGAAACTTCTCGTACTTGACGTTGGATCGCGAGATGAGATCTGCAAAGCTACGGATGACGTCGTCAACCATGTAAAGTTCAGGCACAGCATCCGCGGCATCGCTTGCGGCTAGAGCCTCCCTGCCAAGTAATCAAAGTACGAGTTATGAGTAATGAAGTTAAAAATGGTGCATCGCTTTCCCACCGAGTGCATGGAGAGACACTCACCGTGGATTCGGTCTGTGCTCTCGTCCAGTGACAAGCCAATCCAAGGCGACTCCAGCAAGTGCGATCGTTGCAGTTTTTGTAGGTACGTTGAGATGGCCCGGAGATTCTCTCTGAAGCCATATCTGCACATAACAACAGATAACAACATCAGTATATGTGAATATCACCCGTGGCTACCATAAAAAAAACAAGCGCTTACTCAGTGTAGTAGGCGCCATATCCGCCACCGTTCGGAAGGTCTGGAAGGCCTTCCTTTGCCAAGAACTAGCAGAGCGGGATGAACATCGAGATCGGTGCATCCGCCCCGCAGATAAAAAGCGCAATATGAAGCACGCGAATGATGTGACGCGTAGACGCGTCAGTTGACTGCCACCGTGTTAGTTTCGCCTGTTTCTCCTTCTCAGCTGCAGCTTCTTCTTGGTTCTTGACCGCGCTCTTGTGGGCTCGTGTTGAGGAATGGGCCCGGACGCTTCCTATCTGCAGGTCGCGGCCACCTTCATCTCTCACACCGTAGCTAGTGTGAGCTGCGGGGTCGCCATGCTGCACACAAATGTCACACTTGAGTTTTGCTTCTCCGTTAGGCATCCGAATAAGACGCAACCACTTGAATTTACCCTGCCACTCCGTCTCAAAGCGATGCTTTATGGTCTCGTAGAGAACGTCACCGGTAGTTTTAGCGGGCGCCTCGTCTTGGGTCGCTACTGGACGTTGCGGTGAAGCTTCTTTGCGGGGTGGCGGGGCTCCCCATAGCCGCTACTGCGTGTACTTCGTTCCCACACGTGGGCGTTTCCCCGGGGTGCTGCTCACAGTGGACGGTGAAGCCGCGGAGGGTCTAGACGACCCTTCACCACCGCCTGGCACGATAACAATTGACGGGTGCGGCTCCCAGTCAGCAGGAGTCGACGGCGGCTCGAACGGGTATACAATACCCACACTACGCACGGGAGAAGCGGGTGGTGGCAACGGCGAGATGGGCACGCTGTATGTCTCAGAAGGGGGAGGAATAACTCCCAGCACAGAAAGGCCATTACGCACTACCGCAGGAGATTGAGGAGTTTGCTCGGCAGGCATGACTACCACATGTGAGAGACCTCCCAGTGGGTGGTTCTCACACTGAGGGTATGAGAAGGATGAGAAAGATGGGGTGTTCTTGGGATAACGACCCCCTCCTCCAACACCCGTGATGACCCCGGAGCGCGTAATTGCATGGCTCACGGTGGTCACTTGTGGCTGCCAGGGTGTGTTCTGTTCAGCACGAAAGGATGATGGCAGCCCCGCTGTTCTGTCGGCGCGCTACTAGACAAGTCTGGCAGTTGTCAAATGCTGCTCTGGCCTTGATTCTGTGTTGCGCTGGCATGGTGGCTGCCTGTTCCACCAATGTTGTACTTTCGTGGCAGGACGCGTGGAAACTCGCGTGACTCCACTTGGGGGTGATATTGTTTTTTTGTGACTGGTGGTCTTGTCCGTTTCGCATTCTGTTAAGTTTTGAAATCCTCGCTTGCAAGAAATCCGTATCAGTGTAACTGAAAAAGTACCCTGTACAGTCAAGGAAAAATTTGTGGCACGCTGTATTTCAAAGGGGAAAAAAAATTACACTTAATGGCCTAGGGTAAAAATCCCACTACCCTGCCTGGGAAAGGGTAACTGAAAAAAAGCGGCCGCCAGTCAGTGCAAAAAGGGTATTCTACCCTGATAACGAGAGCCCTGATGTCAGCAACACGGTTCCTTACGTGAATCGGGATATACAAAGACGTTTTTAAAAAAGTCATTTACGACATTCCAATAACACATGAAATGTTCCTCTTGTCGATCAAGAGGCTGGGAAACTGAAATCGGGGTACCTTGTTCTACTCCATGCACTATCCAGCTTCACCCATTGCCACCACTTAACCTCTCAACTATCCCTTCAGGCGTGCATTTCTACAAGAAAGGAAGCAGTGGTCATGAAAGCAAGGGTGAGGGAGGGAGGTAAGTTAGTGGGGGTGGGGGAGGTCACATGCATGGAATATTGAAGGTTTAGGTAGAGGCATGAGGTGGAAGAAGGAAGATGGACGAGACCAGATGTTATTCGCAATGATGTATCGTGCAGGCAAAGTCAAGTACGCATTGGCTACTAGACCACTCACTTAATCTGCTCTTCCCACCCCAGCAGTTGGTCCCTTTCACCCAGTGATCTGATTTGGGCATCTCTGAGAAAACTCTTCTAGCGAGCCAACCCCGTTCCCCTCTCCCACCACCGTACTCACTCCAACAACCCACAACAACACCCCTCTCCCTCCAGCAACCCCACTCACCTCAGCAACTACCCCGTTTGGCCATGGCTTAAAAGCCAGACACTTCCTTGCTGCCTAGTGCAGCCACCGTCTTCCCCCTCTCACCACCATGCACACAGCAGCAACCATCACCATCACACATCTGATTGCAACAGACTCAACAAACCTTCTCACCTCAGCAGATGCCCCTTTCGTCCATGGCTTTAAAGCCGGACACCTCCTCGCCGCCTCTGCCAGTGCAGCCACCCCCTCCTCCTTCTCCCACCAACTGTCGCTCGGCTCGCCCAGTGTACATGTGGCGAACCCTGATTGGCTGATACCAGGGAAGCGTGCCAGCCTGGCGGTCTCCACGGGTAGGTTGATCCCCGGGCGGGACGACGCGACGCTATTGGCTGTGGCAGTGATAGCCCGGCGCGGGTCGAGGATGTAGCGCCGTGAGCCTTCCTCGTCCAGGCATTGGCTGGCGCTGTAGACATCTGTAGCAGAGCACACCGGGTGGGGCCACCTGCGGGAAACGCGAGGGGAAGAAGGAAGAGGGGGGTTGCATACAAAGGGAAGGAGAGAAAGGTGAAGGGGCAGTAGGGACTTGTTGGGCTGTTCGTGGTGCAAAAGCAGTCTGTTGCTCTGCGCATTTCTGTGCAGCACTTCCACACCAATGTGAACTGCACCCTCACTCACCAGCACCACATTTCACCCACCTGAACCGCATCCTTTCCACAGCAAAAGCAGCTTTGGCCTCATTAGCAGCCATCGCAGCAGCCCGCTTCCTCTCCTCCTCCCCCTCCTCCCCGCCCCCATTCCCCTCGCCCCCTCCCCCACCCTCCCCCTCCCCCTCCCCTCCCCCTGCTGCCTGCGGTGGCAGCTGCAGCGGCGAGCAGAATGAGCCGTTGAAGGCTGTAGCGCCAAAGGTCAGCCATGGGAGCGACTCGTGCTCCTGTAGCAACGCTGGCAGCGAGAGGGGTGGCGGGATTTGGAGGTACTCGTCGATGTCAGACACGAGCAGCCAGCGGGCGGCGTTGCGTGTCCGGTATATGCAGTCCTGGATGGCAAGATGCTGGGCGGGTTGGGGAAAGGAGGGGTGAGGTGAGAAGCAGGTGAAGGTTGGATTCTCGTGACTTTTGAGTCGACTCAAAAGTCACCTTGGTGAGAAGCAGGTGAAGTGAAGATTGGATTCTCATGGATGGACAGGTGTGGGTAGAAATTAAGATGCTTTGGGCAACAGATCCAACTATCCAACTACCTGGATGGACATGTTTCGGACTACTATCGTGCTCTGCTTCGGACAGTATATTGCTCACATACCAACCTGCCCCCCATTCCCCTTCCCCCCTGATACATACCTCGCCGTAGTTCCACACGTCCCACTGCAGCACAGACACCTCCCCCCCCTCACCTCCTCGCCCCCTCCCCAAGTACATACCTCCCCGTAGTTCCACACGTCCCACTGCAGCACCTCTCGGAACCCCCACGTCACGTCCACCATGCCCCTCTTGACCCTTGGCGCCAGCACCCGCTGCACCTCCTTGTGCCCCGGGCCTGCCTCCCCGTTGCCCGCGATGCCCCCCGCATCGTAGAGCAGGAAGCGGTCGACAGGGAGCAGCACGCGGTGGAAGTGCAGCCACTCTAAGAGCCTCCTGGCGTCGATGGTGTCGTGGATGGGGGAGACGCATGCTGCAACGTTCAGCGGGAGAGGGGATGGCGCTTCCAGTGGCTGCAGGACGGGGAGGGAGAGAGGCAGAGAAGCGAAGGGAAGTGTGGGTTCAGGGAGAGAGGGACTGGTTGAGAGCCACACGCCTTCCCGTTGTCCCCGTTCCCCCCCGCATCGTAGAGCAGGAAGGAAGCGGTCGACAGGGAGCAGCACGCGGTGGAAGTGCAGCCACTCTAAGAGCCTCCTGGCGTCGATGCTGTCGTGAATGGGGGAGACGCATGCTGCAACGTTGAGAGGGAGGGGCGAAGAGGCCTCCAGAGGCTGTGGAAGTGGGGGAGGAGAGAGGGAGAGAAGAGGAGGGGGAGGGGGAGGGGGGGTTGAGAGCCACTTGATATGTGGTAAACGCGCGCCCACCACCCCCTTTCTGCATCGTAGAGCAGGGAGCGATCGACAAGCAGCAGCACACGGTGGAAGTGCAGCCACTCGAGGAGCCTCCTGGCATCGATGCTGCCGTGGATGGGCGCCACACAAGCTGCAACATTGAGAGGGAGGGCCGAAGGAGGACCCAAAGGCTGGGGCAGTGGGGTGGGAGGAGCAAAAGGAGGGTTCCACGGAGAAAGCAATAGGCTCGGAACCGCCCTGACGTTTCCTGAGGAAGCCCCACACTATCACCCCCCCTTCCCCCCCCCCTCTCCACTCCCTACACAATAGAACAGAAAATGGTCGACGGGGAGGAGGGCGTGATGGCAGTGCTTTGTAGGGTGGGGGTATTGGGATAGCAGTGAGTGGGGTTGAGGGGGCGAGCAGCGAGTTAGTTTGTGGGGGGTGTGCTCTTGATGCACGTGTGCGTCAAAGACAAGGTGCAGGCTTGTGAGTTTGCGAGAAGAGAGGCAGTTGGTGTGGGTGGATTTGGTGTGGAGAGTGAAAAGCTCGTGGTGAGAGTTGGTGTGGGTGGAGAGTGGGATTTGGCGGGCCGTCAAGGCAACGAGCGGAGATATCTAGGACCTGAGTTAGCCATACAACAGCAGGATAGGTAACATATCTCACCTCACTCTCCTCCTCTCTGTACGGGAACAATATCTCCTGCTCTATCCTCGCCTCCAGGTGGCCTCCTGCCTTGGTGGCACTGTCCAATGTGCACAGCAGCACTGCCACGTCATACTGCCACGTAGGCATGGAATGGGGAGGAGAGTAAGGGTTGGGAGGAGAAGGTAGCAGGAAAAGAGGGGGGGGAAATTGGGAGAGCTGTATAATCAAAAACAGTATCATGATGACTGTCATCATGTGCTGGGAATAGAAATGATATACGTGCATCCTCATCCACTTGTCATTGGATTGAATCAGAACACAACGGTTTACAATGTAGTTGTGATGCGTTCCGACGAGGCTGATCGTGAGGTCTCCCCATTGATACATGCGCCATCAGAGCCGTGCCATGCAAGACAGTTTCTGAGGCGCCTCAAAAACCACCCCGAGGCGCCTCAGAAACCACCTCCTTTTGAGGCGCCTCAAAGATGCCCACGAGGCTGATTGTGAGGTCTCCATTGATACACGCGCCATCAGAGCCGTGCCATGCAAGACAGTTTCTGAGGCGCCTCAAAAACCACCCCGAGGCGCCTCAGAAACCACCTCCTTTTGAGGCGCCTCAAAAATGCCCATGAGGCTGATTGTGAGGTCTCCATTGATACACGCGCCATCAGAGCCGTGCCATGCAAGACAGTTTCTGAGGCGCCTCAAAAACCACCCCGAGGCGCCTCAGAAACCACCTCCTTTTGAGGCGCCTCAAAAATGCCCACGAGGCTGATTGTGAGGTCTCCATTGATACACGCGCCATCAGAACCGTGCCACGTGCTCAAGACAGCTGGCACTCATATTACCTTTGGCTACTTAGAGTAAAGCGCAGGCTTACGATGTAGTTGTGGTGCTTGGTGACTTTTGAGTCGACTCAAAAGTCAAAGCGCAGGCTTACGATGTAGTTGTGGTGCTTGCCCACAAGGCTGGTTGTGAGGTCTCCATTGATACGCAACCCATCGGAGCCATGCCACGTGCAATCCGTGAGGCGCGTCTTATCCTCCATGGCGACAGGCACCATGCCTATTATGGCTATTCGCCGCGCATTCATGCGGTAGGCACTGGGGGGTGCAGGGGATGGGAGGGAGAGGAATGAGGGGAGAGGAAGCCATGCCATGCCATGTCATGCCATGTCATGCCATGCCATGCCATGTCATGCCATGCCATGCCATGCCATGCCATGCCATGCCATGCCATGCCATGCCATGCCATGCTATGCCATGTCATGCCATGCCATGCCATGCCATGCCATGCCATGCCATGCCATGCTATGCCATGTCATGCCATGCCATGCCATGCCATGCCATGCCATGCCATGCCATGCCATGCCATGCCATGCCAAGCCATGGCATGCAGTGTCGTGCCTAAGCTGTGCTCTCACCGTAACTATGGAATCATTTACAGCCAATGCAAACTCTCAAATCAAGCTGCGCCCACCTGAACTCCGGGCTCACCTGAACTCCGGGCTCACCTGAACTCCGGGCTCACCTGAACTCCGGGCTCACCTGAACTCCGGGCTCACCTGAACTCCGGGCTCACCTGAACTCCGGGCTCACCTGAACTCTGGGCTCACCTGAACTTGGCAAAGCCGTACGCGCCGTATTTCTCAAACACGCGCTGCCGCCGGTACTGCGGGTGGTCATCCATGCAGCGTCGTGCCAATACTTTATAACCACCTGAACTTGACAAAGCTGTAGGCGCCATACTTCTCAAACACGTGCTACCGCCAGTACTACGGGCGGTCATGACTGTCGCGACTGCTGCCGCCATTGCCAGCGCCAGTAGGACAAGCTTTGAACTCAGCTGAACTTCCGGCTCACCTGAATTTGACAAAGCCGTAGGCGCCATACTTCTCAAACACGCGCTGCCGCCAATACTGCGGGCGGTCGTCTGTGATCTTCCACCGTCTGAACCCGTTCCTCCGCCATGGTCGGTGGTATACCCCGCTCCCCCGCCCCCCACTGCCACTGCTGCTGTTGCTGCTACCGCCAGCTTCAACAACAACAGCAGCAGTGGCGGCGGCAGCAGCGGCGGCGGCGGCGGCAGCCCGAGCGTTGTTCTCCCGTGCCTGCCGCTGGAGAGAGGAGAGGAGAGGATGAGGGTGGAAAGGCGCAGCAGGGATGATTTGATATTTCAGTCGACTCACAAATTGGCAGCGGCAGCCAGAGTGTTGGCGTTGTTCTGCCGTGCCGCGTTTTGAGTCAACTCAAAACCCGTGCCTCCTGGTGGAGTGTGGAGGGAGGAAAGAATTTGGATGAGGGTGGAAAGAAGGAAGCAGGATGAGGACAGGGAGGGAGGTTTGGGGGAGGGTGAGGAGGGAGGGGGGATGAGGAGAAATGGGGATGAGAAAAGCTTGCAGCTTTGCGGCCTTGCTGCTCCCCAGCTCCTTCTGAGTCGACTCAAAAGTCGCTCCTCAGCTCCTTTTGAGTCGACTCAAAAGTTGCTCCCCACCTCCTTTTGAGTCGACTCAAAAGTCACTCCCCAGCTCCTTTTGAGTCGACTCAAAAGTCACTCCCCAGCTCCCTCACCGCGACTCTTGGGCTCTATGTTGCTTTTGCTTCTGACTTGACTCGCCCATAAGAAAAGAAAGAAAGCAGGAAAGGGAAAATATAGAAGGAAGGAAAGAAGGAAAGAAGGAAGGAAGGAAGGAAGGAAGAAGGAAGGAAGGAAGGAAGGAAGGAAGGAAGGAAGGAAGGAAGGAAGGAAGGAAGGAAGGAAGGAAGGAAGGAAGGAAAGAAAGAAAGGACGATAGAAAATAAAGTGGAGGGTCACCCTCCATCGCCCTCCGACCTGCAGCCGAGCCACAGACACGATCTGCTGAGCAAGCTCCACGCCATGCAGGCGAACACGGGCTTTGAGCTCTTGGATCTCCACCTGCAGCTGATGCAGCCCCTCCTGCCCCTTCCTCAGCACCTGCGCTGCGTCCCCCGCCCACCCCCCACTTCTCTTCTGATTTCCTCCCTGCCGCAACTTTCGAGACGTCTCAAAAGTCACCTGCGCTGCGTCCCCCGCCCACCCCCACGCTTCTCTTCTGATTTCCTGCCTGCCGCAACTCAGAAGCTCTAAGCTGTTCTTACTCCTTGAAAAGAATGCATACTACCCTCCCTCCACCCCCCTGCTTCTCACCTGCAGCCGAGCCAGGGTCATCATCTGCTGAGACAGCTCCTCCCCTTGCCGGCGCACGCGGGCTTTAAGCTCTTTGATCTCCGCCTGCAGCTGCTGCAGCCCCTCCCGCCCCTCCCTCAGCACCTGCGCCGCGTCCCCCGCCGCTTTGCTGCTTGCCAGGCGCAGCTGCCCCACCTCCTGTGCCACCCCCTCCATGCCCACAGCCAGCTGCTGCCGCACCTGCTCTGCGTCTTCTTGCATGGCGCCTGGGGGGCAGCAGAGAGCGAAGAGTGGGGATAGGATAGGGAAAAGAAAAGAGGGAGGCGAAGGCATGGGGGAAAGCAGATGGGAAAGGAAAGTGGGAGGAGAGCGGGGACTGTTATGGTGAGAGGAAAGGCGCCGCCTTGCTGCTGGCCTGGCGCAACTGCCCCACCTCCTGCGCCACCCCCTTCATGCCTGCTGCCAGCTGCTGCTGCACCTGCTCTGTGTCCTCCTACATGGCGCCTGGGGGGCGGCGGGCATGGGGTAAGGCAGAGAAGGGGAGAGAGGACGGGGGAAAGCAGATCGTGGGGGAGGGCACGGGGGGAAGAGAGAGGGCAGAAGGACGGTGAAGTGAAAGGGTTCTTCTCCAGGGTGTCATGAAGGAAAAGAAGAAGGCAAGGGGCTTTCAACAGTTCGTATGTCCTAGCGCTCTTGAATTCCGCAAGGGGAAAGAGCGGGCTGGCTTACGGTGGAGAGCAGCAATGTCAGCTGCGGTGTACGCCAGCATGGCACGCTGACTCAGCTTCGTCCCGATTGGCTGCTGCAGAATGGGTATTCCAGTAAAGAGGGCAAGAGGGGAATGAAACATGGTAAGGTGAGGAGGACTAAGGAGGCAGAAGTTGATGATGGCGGTGAGGAGGTGAGGAGGGTCAAGTCGAGATGCTAGAAAAAGGGACAGAGAGAGGCAGGGGTATAGTAACATTGTGTTAGAGAAAGTGGTGGTCGTCATGGACAGCAGGTGTCGGGTATCATGCATCACATCATGCATCATGCATCGCATCATGCATCATACACCCATCACACGTTATGCACCACATGCTGCGTACGCCTGTCTTTGCAAGGCTGGCAAAGCCCTCGGGTGGCAGGTCCAGGGCGCTGAGCTTCTCCACCCATGTCACTCGCAGCTGGGGGTTTCAGGAGGCACACAGGCATGCACACAGACGCACAGGAGGTCACGGGCATGGGGATGGGGATGGATGGGGATGGGCATGGGCACGGGCAGGTCCAGGGCGCTGAGCTTCTCCACCCAAGTCACTCGCAGCTGGTCGTGGGGCATGCCAGGCGGTACACGCCCATGCAGACGCACAGGAGGGCATGGGCATGGCATGGGCATGGCATGGGCATGGTTGAGTGTGGAGGCACGCGGTTGTGCAGGAGATGTAAGGAGATGCATGACATGGCTCATTGATGCATGACATGGCTCATCGATGCATGACATGGCTCATTGATGCATGACATATCTCATTGATGCATGACATGGTTCATTGATGCATGACATATCTCATTGATGCATGACATGGTTCATTGATGCATGACATGGTTCATTGATGCATGACATGGTTCATTGATGCATGACATGGTTCATTGATGCATGACATGGTTCATTGATGCATGACATGGTTCATTGATGCATGACATAGTTCATTGATGCATGACATGGTTCACTGATGCATGACATAGCTCATTGATGCATGACATGGTGAATGCAAAGTCGAGCAACGCAACGCTTAAAAATGGGGGAAACACAAGTTGAATGACGAACCTGCAGCAGCGAGACGAGGAAGAAGAATGCGAGCACGGCGAGAAAGAGGTGTTGCTCCTGCCGTCCATGACAGACAGTTGGAGGATGACATGACAGCAGGGGGAAAGGGAGCATGAGGCATCATGACACTTTCTGAGGCGGCATGAAAATCAAAAGAAGGCGAGCACGGCGAGGAAGAGGTATTTCTCCTGCCGTGCACGCGTGGTGCAAGGCACGCGTGGTGCCAGGCACGCGTGGTGCCAGGCACGCGTGGTGGTGCCAAGGGTAATACAGGTGGTAAGAGGCGGTGGTACGAGGGAGTGGAGAGAGGGGGTGAGCGGGTATGGTAAGCAGGCGACGTAAGAAGGTACGTGGCTGTTTTAAGCGGAGCTAGTTCAGCGACGATGTTGCGGAACGGAAAGCATTGTAATGGGGCTTTGCGAAGACGGAGTTTCGGGAATGGAGAGACAGCGTTAGCCACTGCCATGCTAGCCGTGATGGCATGAACAGTGGAGTTCTGCCGACGCACAATCTCATTCTCACGCCCAACCGAGAAAACTTTCCATGTGCGCGGCTGGCCGGGCTCGTCCATTAGCGTGTGCAATGGACGACCTTCAATCGGCAGTCTTCCAAAGATGCAAGGTGAAGCTCTGAACTCAATAGGAAAGAGTGTTATATGAAAAAATATTTCCTTTGAGGGACTCACTGGCAGGAGAATGCGAGACATGATGGCCTTTCAGTAATGCGGGTACACAATCAGCGGCGTCAGGGGATTATGTTTAGCTTGAAAACCATTTACACGAACGATGGAGGACTAGTCGAGTCGCGCAATTAATTTCGTAGACTTTGTTCTACTCAACATAAGCGCTGCGCTATTGGACGCGTAATGCACTCGTCTAGTGTCTCGCGTGCGAAATTCTCGCTGAAATGCCACAATCTCAAGACGCAGCAGCTGACTCGTTCCAGGAAACGCTATCAAGGTCCTCATGCTGACCGCCCCTATCCCTCACAGGTGTTGTCGTCCGTACTCTTTATGAAACAGTTGAATGAACGGTGATGCCTGATTTGATTGCAAGGATAGGACCATGCGAGGAATTCCAGTTTAGGATTCCAGTATACAGTGCCTGGTCTTTGTCAGTTCGGAAGAAACCCGCTTGAGCCAGCTCGATGTTTGATTTGTGCCAGGTATGTATTCTATTTGTTGATCGATACAGTGCAACAAAAAAAGCAATACTACAAAGAACGTAATGAAGGTTATAATACCTTTAAAACAGCTGGTTTTCTGAATAATTGTTACTATGTAGACTAGGGGACGCATCTTCTATGAAAGCGCTATAAATACACACTCAAGTTCAAACCTACGTAAAATTATCACATTACCAGTAGAGATACGGTAGGATGGAAGTCCAGATTCAAATATGACTTAGTCCACATACAATATAGTGAGCATAGCGTAGTGCGGGGTTTTTTATTAGCACACCAGGATTACTAGCGAGAAAAGCCTGACAGAATCTTACGTGCTACGTGGCGCTGAAAGTGTTCGCCACGTAGGGAGTAGGGTGTGCTGCGAAAGACCTAACAGATTCTTTCGATATTGTATCATGTTCGCAAGAGGGTGTAACCAGCCTCGATACTTTTCAGGCTCACCTGCTTGCGTGTACGCAGCATGAACCACGTCATCCAACCTCCGAAGTCACCCAACCATCGAAATCCTTACCTCGGGAATGACATATAAATTCGTGCCAGGACCAATTTGCTGCATTCTTGAGAGACTTCGATCTGCCTGTCTTGTTCGCCAGTCTGGTTCAAATCTCAGGATTGCCATAGCTGCTCATTCCTGCACACTAACCAGAGCGGGTTTCTTGTTCTTCTCGTCATCCTCGAAGCCAGATGGCCACCATGTCGCTTCAAGCTCTCTCGTCCGCGGCCACGCTCGTGCCGTCGCCATCCGTCCTCAAGGCTTCCGCCACCACGAGGACAAATGCCGCGGCTGCGTCGAAGCGGACTGTCGTGCGCGCTCTCAAGGTGCGGGATATCTAGTACGCTGCTCCCCCGCTACTGCCGTACAGTGAAACCAAATTACTTTTCAAACACACCTTCTTTTCGGGTGCTTTCCGCCCCACATGTTCCTGTTGGGCAGAGTGACAGCACCGAGGGTGGTCGCGAGCAGGAGGGCGAGAGCGGCGCCTCGTGGGGGGAGCGATGGCGGCAGCAGCACGCGGCGGCAGCGGTGGCGCTGGCGGCCGCAGCGGCTGTGGCGGGCCCCTTTGTGCCTGATGCCGCATTGGCATACATCGTACGTGAAGTGATATCTGTGGGTGGGGTCTGGGAGGCTGGGGGAATGAGAGCTTTTCGCGCGAACGAAAGGGTTGGTGTGAATGATGGCGACAGCAGCGCGCGGCTGCGGCTGTGGCGGGCCCCTTTGTGCCTGACGCGGCGTTGGCATACATCGTACGTGGAGTGATGCTCATGGGTCGGGCCTGGGAGGCAGGGGGAATGAGAGATGCTCGAGCGAATGAGACGATTAGTGTGAATGATGGCGACAGCAGCGCGCGTCAGCGGCTGTGGCGGGCCCCTTTGTGCCCGACGCGGCATTGGCATACATCGTACGTGGAACGCGAATGAGGTGATACCTCCACACCATACACATGCGTACCTGCATTACGGTTATCTCCCTGTATCCGCCCTTCCTTTCAACACATCCTCCGTTCCGCCGTCCCTGTCTGCCCGTGCGTCCCAGGGAGGAGGTCCGTACGGTCGCGAGGTGACACGTGGCCAGGACCTGACGGGACGGGACTACAGCGGGCTGGATCTGCGAGGCCAGGATTTCAAGACGGTGGGTTGGTTTGATCTGGAAACCGCTCCATTGACTTGCGTTGACTCCCGTTGATGTGCGCTGATATGAGAGGGAAGGCATGCGATTGGGAGTCCTGTTTGGAATGAATGAGAGAAGCCGTCGATTGATCTGTCTCTCTTACGGTTCTCTGGGTCTGTGCGTGGCCTCACTCGCCCAGCTCCCAGCCAACTCGTGCTGGTCTTTCTTAGTCTCAAACCACTCCAACAGTCTCCCTCTTAAACTCTTGCCTTGTCGGCCAACCGTCTCATTTTGTGACCTCCCACCTCCCTTTCCCTCCCCGTCTCCACCTCCCTCCACCACTCTGCCTGCACCCCCCACCACCCGGCCCACCCACAGTCCATTCTGCGCCAGGCGAATTTCGCCGGGGCGAACCTCATAGGGGCCTCCTTCTTCGATGCCGACCTCACAGGTACCACCTCCCCCTGCCCCTTGCCGTCTCACAGGTACCACCTCCCCCTGTCCCTTGCCGTCTCACAGGTGCCACCTCCCCCTGCCCCTTGCCGTTTTATGGGTACCACCTCACCTCGCCGTCTCACAGGTACCACCTCCCCTCGCCGCCTCACAGGTACCACCTTCCTCTACCCTTGCCATTGCCACCTCACAGATGGCACCTTCCCCGCAAGGAAGGACCCCACAGAGTAACATTTCCACCTCCCTCAACCCTTGCATATGCCATTTTACACCTAGTAACCGAGGTAACACCTCTACCACTGCGCACATGGACCTTTGCAAATGATTTCGCGCAAATGAGCAAATGGGATTGCGCAAATGAACCCTTGCAGGTAAACCCTCACCCTCCTATCCCATTGTTAAACGCTCTCACCATTGCACAGAGAGCACCTTTGGAGTGGCGAATGCATCGCGCCCTCCATCTTCCCCTCTCCCCTCTACCCCCTTTCCACGTCTCCTTTCCTGCTCGGGATCTCTTCCATCAGCCTTGCTTTGCTTGCCAACCTCGTACCTCTCCCCCCCCGTTCACCCCCCTCTTCACTCCTTGAGGGGACTTCACGCCGTCCGCCTCCATGCTCCCCGTCTCTCTCCCCCCCAACACACATCAGGAGCGGACTTCACGGGTGCCAATCTCACTGGTGCTGACTTCTCCCTCACCAGCGCAAACAAGGTGCGCACTCAAAAGCACCCAGCGCAAACAAGGTGCGCACTCAAAAGCACCCAGCGCAAACAAGGTGCGCACTCAAAAGCACCCAGCGCAGCCAAGCTGGGAAAAGGTGCGGTGGGTGGCACCAAGGCGGCATTACACCCGTCCTGACTCCTGACGCCCTTGCGTCATCCTGCTGTTTTTTTTTTCCTTTGATAACCTTCTCTTGCTCAACTCCCCTCTTGCTCTCTCTCCACACCCCCCCCCCCCCCCCCCCCCCCCCCCCTCCCCCTTCCCCCCCCCTCCTCCTCCCTGCTGCAACCTGTCTTCTCCCACGCCTGTCCTTGAGGCGCCTCAGGGCGTGTTGCAAATAAGAGATCGATCGTCGCTTTGAACCGATCCTGACTGCTGTCAAACACTGTAGCGTATGTGTGTTAGCACTGTGCACGAGCGAGGAAACTGGTGATTGTCAGCTCGATCGCCGTCTCATTCTGGGGGGCCCACCGTCTCATTCACCGGCGTCGAGACATTTCACTTGCTGCAACCACCACCCCCCCCTCCCCGTCCCCCTTCCCCACACTGCCCGTCCCCCTCCACATCAGGCCAACTTCACCAACGCCATTCTGGAGGGCATCTCATTCACTGGCAACACGTCCTTCAAAGGCGCTATCATCACCGGCGCTGGTCAGTGCTCCACTCCCTCCCTCCAGCACTCACTCCCATTCACCCTCCTTCTCTTGCTGCCTCTCTCTCAGGGCGTATTCCTAGCTTCGTGTCATCCTGGCTTTGTGTCATCCGAAATTGTGGGATCGAATAGGAAAATTCAAAGCTCGAAACGCGGGTTTCCCGATTGGCTCCCACAATTTCGGATGACACAAACACGGGATGACACGAAGCTAGGAATACGCCCTCACTCGCCTTCACCCGCAACGCGTCCTTTCAAGGCCGCCATAATCACCGGCGCTGGTCAGTGCTGCACCCCCACCCGCGCCCTCGCCCTCCCACTCTCTGCCTCTCCTTCACCTTCTTCACTATGCCACGTGATAATAAGCTGTATTTGAGACGTCTCAGGGCGTATCTCAGTTCGGGTCATGGGCACTGTTTGGGTCATCCAAGATTCTTGGACGGCCAATAAGGCGCATTTCAGCTACACTACTGGAATACCATTGGTCCTCCTATGACCCGAAGTGGCCTGATGACCCGAACTGAGATACGCCCTCAAAAGCAACATCTCCTTGAACAAATCTACCCTTCATGTCGCTGGCTCTCCTATCTCTGAGATTTGGGGTTGTTTTCGACAGCAGATACGTGATTCTGTGCAGGTGCAGGTGCATGTGCGTGTGGGGAATGTGGTTCACTCACCACTCCATCCCCGTACCCAACCTCGATCCCGATACCCATTCCTGTCCACGTCCCCGCACCCATGCCAATGCCCGCGCCCATCCCATGCCAATCCCGTGCCCATCCCATGCCAATCCCGTGCCCAATCCCGTGCCCATCCCGTGCCCATCCCATGCCAATCCCGTGCCCAATCCCGTGCCCATCCCATGCCAATCCCGTGCCCAATCCCGTGCCCATCCCCGTGCCCAATCCCGTGCCCATCCCCGTGCCCATCCCCGTGCCCATCCCCGTGCCCATCCCCGTGCCCATCCCCGTGCCCATCCCCGTGCCCATCCCCGTGCCCATCCCCGTGCCCAATCCCGTGCCCATCCCCGTGCCCATCCCCGTGCCCATCCCATGCCAATCCCGTGCCCAATCCCGTGCCCATCCCATGCCAATCCCGTGCCCAATCCCGTGCCCATCCCCGTGCCCAATCCCGTGCCCATCCCCGTGCCCATCCCCGTGCCCATCCCCGTGCCCATCCCCGTGCCCATCCCCGTGCCCATCCCCGTGCCCATCCCCGTGCCCATCCCCGTGCCCATCCCCGTGCCCATCCCCGTGCCCATCCCCGTGCCCAATCCCGTGCCCATCCCCGTGCCCATCCCCGTGCCCATCCCCGTGCCCATCCCATGCCAATCCCGTGCCCAATCCCGTGCCCATCCCCGTGCCCAATCCCGTGCCCAACCCCGTGCCCATCCCCGTGCCCATCCCCGTGCCCATCCCCGTGCCCATCCCCGTGCCCATCCCCGTGCCCAATCCCGTGCCCATCCCCGTGCCCATCCCCGTGCCCATCCCCGTGCCCATCCCCGTGCCCATCCCCGTGCCCAATCCCGTGCCCATCCCGTGCCCATCCCATGCCAATCCCGTGCCCAATCCCGTGCCCATCCCATGCCAATCCCGTGCCCAATCCCGTGCCCATCCCATGCCAATCCCGTGCCCAATCCCGTGCCCATCCCATGCCAATCCCGTGCCCAATCCCGTGCCCATCCCCGTGCCCAATCCCGTGCCCATCCCCGTGCCCATCCCCGTGCCCATCCCCGTGCCCATCCCCGTACCCATCCCCGTGCCCATCCCCGTGCCCATCCCCGTGCCCATCCCCGTGCCCATCCCCGTGCCCATCCCCGTGCCCATCCCCGTGCCCATCCCCGTGCCCATCCCCGTGCCCAATCCCGTGCCCATCCCCGTGCCCATCCCATGCCAATCCCGTGCCCAATCCCGTGCCCATCCCCGTGCCCAATCCCGTGCCCATCCCCGTGCCCATCCCCGTGCCCATCCCCGTGCCCATCCCCGTGCCCATCCCCGTGCCCATCCCCGTGCCCAATCCCGTGCCCATCCCCGTGCCCATCCCCGTGCCCATCCCCGTGCCCATCCCCGTGCCCATCCCCGTGCCCAATCCCGTGCCCATCCCGTGCCCATCCCATGCCAATCCCGTGCCCAATCCCGTGCCCATCCCATGCCAATCCCGTGCCCATCCCCGTGCCCATCCCATGCCAATCCCGTGCCCAATCCCGTGCCCATCCCATGCCAATCCCGTGCCCAATCCCGTGCCCATCCCCGTGCCCAATCCCGTGCCCATCCCCGTGCCCATCCCCGTGCCCATCCCCGTGCCCATCCCCGTGCCCATCCCCGTGCCCATCCCCGTGCCCATCCCCGTGCCCATCCCCGTGCCCATCCCCGTGCCCATCCCCGTGCCCAATCCCGTGCCCATCCCCGTGCCCATCCCCGTGCCCATCCCCGTGCCCATCCCATGCCAATCCCGTGCCCAATCCCGTGCCCATCCCCGTGCCCAATCCCGTGCCCATCCCCGTGCCCATCCCCGTGCCCATCCCCGTGCCCATCCCCGTGCCCATCCCCGTGCCCATCCCCGTGCCCAATCCCGTGCCCATCCCCGTGCCCATCCCCGTGCCCATCCCCGTGCCCATCCCCGTGCCCATCCCCGTGCCCAATCCCGTGCCCATCCCGTGCCCATCCCATGCCAATCCCGTGCCCAATCCCGTGCCCATCCCATGCCAATCCCGTGCCCAATCCCGTGCCCATCCCATGCCAATCCCGTGCCCAATCCCGTGCCCATCCCGTGCCCATCCCATGCCAATCCCGTGCCCAATCCCGTGCCCATCCCATGCCAATCCCGTGCCCAATCCCGTGCCCATCCCCGTGCCCATCCCCGTGCCCATCCCCGTGCCCATCCCCGTGCCCATCCCCGTGCCCAATCCCGTGCCCATCCCGTGCCCATCCCATGCCAATCCCGTGCCCAATCCCGTGCCCATCCCATGCCAATCCCGTGCCCAATCCCGTGCCCATCCCATGCCAATCCCGTGCCCATCCCGTGCCCATCCCATGCCAATCCCGTGCCCAATCCCGTGCCCATCCCATGCCAATCCCGTGCCCAATCCCGTGCCCATCCCCGTGCCCATTCCCCGTGCCCATTCCCCGTGCCCATCCCGTGCCCATCCCCGTGCCCATCCCCGTGCCCATTGCCGTGCCCATTGCCACTGCAGACTTCACAGACGCGTACTTTGGTGCGGACCAGGAGGCATACCTCGAAAGCCATCCTCATGCCCCATGCCCATGCCCCATGCTGCCTATGCCCATCTCCCCATCCCCATGCGCATGCCCACACCCACGCCCACCACCATCCCCCCCGTGCAGACTTCACGGACGTGTCACCCTGACTCATGTTTTGAAGGGCTGCAGTAGCAGAGAGGATGCTTAAGCAAAGGAACAAACAGTGAAAACTGGTGAAAAAAAAGCACATCTGAAAAACCCTTAGCTTCCCCATCCCCGTGCCCATCGCCCCTGCAGACTTCACGGACGTGTACTTCCGAGCGGACCAGAAGGCGTACCTGTGCAGAGCGGCTGAGGGGTGAGTCGGGGTTGGGTTGGGTTGGGATGCCGATGCAACAGCAGGTGCGAGGAGCCATAGTTGTTGAGGAGTGTTGCAGTTGTGTGCTGCAGATCACAAGTCACCTCGTACCTCTGCAGAGCGGCTGAGGGATGAGATGGGTTGGGATGCCGATGCAACAGCAGGTAGAGTGCTTTTGAGACGTCTCAAAAACACCCCCACTACCGATGCAACAGCAGGTAGGTGCCGTAGTTTCCGAGGGGTGTTGCAGTTCCGCGCTACAGATAAGAAGGCGTACCTTTGCAGAGCGGCTGAGGGGGAGTGTGTAGTATGGTGTACCTGTGTGTCAACCATGCTCCCATGCCATGGCCATTGTGGGACGCTCCCTTCCACCGGAACCCCCAGGTTTTTACCACTTCTGCCCTTCTCCTCTGCTTCCACACCACAACTTCTCTCCCCGTTAACTCCCTCCCTTGTTACTTCCACCACTTTCCCTGCCATTCCTTCCCCATCCTTCTCTCACTTTTGAATCCCCTTGACTCGACCCCTCCCAACCCAACCCCACCCACCTTCCCCTCCACTTGCGAGCAGCACCAATCCTGTCACTGGCAACGACACCCGCGACACTCTGCTCTGCTAGCTGCTCTGCTTCAGTCTCCGTGCTTGAGCTCCCTCCACTGCGTCTCTAGAGACCTGTTTCCTTAAAGAGTTGCATTCTTTCGAGTAGCTGCTCCAGTTGTCACTGTTTTCTCCAGTTTTCGGTGTTTTCTCCAGTTTTCGGTGTTTTCTCCAGTTTTCCCGAGCAACTCCAGTTTCCCCGAGCAACTCCGGTTTCCCCGAGCAACTCCAGTTTCCCGAGCAACTAGGATCACTTCACACTGGTCCCTGCAGGTGCTGCAACTGCTTTTCCTGCCCTCCTCTGTCTGAGGTTTTGTGAAGACTGAACCATGTTTATACCAGCGCCATCGCATGTACAGTTTCATTGTTGAGCCAAACTGGTATATTGTTGTAGAAATTTTGAACACACCAACCTCTATGGAATAGAACATAGTAGTCGCACTGTCAATATCTAACAGTGACAACTGACGTACCGCACACTGTTGCCAGTGTACAAGGCACGCACACAGAACAATACTCCCTGTACAGCAAAACAAACTACTACCAAACCTCTATTGGAGAAGAGCGTGCAAGAGTATGATACCACCAGAGCAACTGGAGCTTTGGTGACAAGAGTACGGTACCACCAGAGCAACTGGAGCTTTGGTGACTGTAGCACCATATGCCTATCTGTGCGGTGCGAGTGGCACCTGTGACCTGTCGCATGCCCATCGGGCCATCAGGCAACCATTGACTCCATGCTCTGTACCGTGCATCACACTTGGAACAGGAATCTGAGGTCTTCTGTTGTGAGGCGCGACCGGTTCATAGCTGTGGCTGACTCGCCATATGCACTCTCGATCATCGTGCGCTTGCGCTCCTGTTCATGAGGCAGTGAGCCCAGGGAGATTTTTACAGGCATTTTGATTGGGTTGGGGGAGAGATGAGTTTAGCATGAGAAGAGAAGCGTGATTGTTCCAGGGAGTTTTTGAGAATTCTCAAAAACTCCCTGCAGATGAGTTTAGCATGAGATATAGCGTGATTGTTCCAGAGCAACTGAAAATGCATGTGACACCGGCAGTTGAGAGAAACAGAACAGCACTGCCATCATCACCACCACGGCCGCTCAACACGCTCAAAGAGCACTTTTCACCAACCAGCCACATACACTTGGCCATGGTGAAGCGCGCCACTCGCACGGGGCGGGTCTGGCTAATGCCTCATCCCAGCCAGCCCCCGTACCCACCTGCAGCTCCAGGATCCGACCCCCCGAGACCCTCCCCCACCCACCTGCAGCTCCAGGATCCTGTCCTCGATGGTATCGGCCACGGTGAAGCGCGCCACACGCACGGGGCGAATCTGGCCGATGCGGTGCGCGCGGTCAATTGCCTGATCCTCCACTGCGGGGTTCCACCAGAGGTCCATGAGTATCACGTGGTTCGCCGCTATCAGATTGAGCCCCACGCTGGCTGCTTTCAGGGACACCAGGATCACCGTGATCTAATAGGGGGGGGAAAGGAGGGAGAAAAAGATCACAAGGAAGAGGGGAGGAAACGTATGGGGCTGTTAGGCTGCACAATTATTTCTTTAGGCACATATAAAGGGGCGGTCAATTGCCTGGTCCTCCACTGCGAGGTTCCACCAGAGGTCCATGAGAATCACGTGGTTCGCCGCTATCAGATTGAGCCCCACGCTCGCTGCCTTGAGAGACACGAGGATCACCGTGATCTGATGAGGGGGAATGGAGGGAGAGAAGGATCACAAAGGGGAGGGGAGGAATCATATGGAGCTGCTAGGCACGGTCGATGGCCTGGTCCTCCACTGCGGGGTTCCACCAGAGGTCCATGAGGATCACGTGGTTCGCCGCTATCAGATTTTTTTTTTTTTTTTTTTTTTGGGCTTTAAGGAACCGCTATCAGATTGAGCCCCACGCTGGCTGCTTTCAGGGACACCAGGATCACCGTGATCTGATGGGGGGGGGAGAGAAGGGACACGAAGAAAATCACTGTGATGTGAATGGGTGCAGGGATGGGGGTGTTAGGCTGCACAATATAAGTACTGAGGGGTGTGTTGGAGTGCGGTCGAGAGGCCACAGACATGGTGCCCTCGAGGCGCACGTGGGGGATGGCGGCAACAGCCAGGTGCACCAACCTTGGGAATACCACCTCCCAGCCTTGGGAATACCACCTACCAGCCTTGGGAGTACCACCTACCAGCCTTGGGAATACCACCTACCGGCCTTGGGAATACCACCTACCAGCCTTGGGAATACCACCTACCAGCCTTGGGAATACCACCTACCAGCCTTGGGAATACCACCTACCAGCCTTGGGAGTACCACCAACCCACCTTGGGAATTCCACCGACCAACCTTGGGAATACCACCGACCAACCTTGGGAATACCACCGACCAGCCTTGGGAATACCACCGACCAACCTTGGAAATACCACCGACCAGCCTTGAGAATACCACCAACCAGCCTTGGGAATACCACCGACCAACCATGGGAATACCACTGACCAGCCTCGGGAATACCACCGACCTGTGGATCAGAGGTGAAATCAGCGATGGCCCTGTCTCGAGCGGTGACGGACATGGTGCCGTCGAGGCGCACGTGGGAAATGCCGGCAGCAGCCAGGTGCAGCTCGAGGAGGTCCAGCATGCGCGTCCACTGTGAGAACACTATCGCCTTCTCTCTCACCATTAAGGGAGAGGGAGAGGAGCCAGCACTCACTATCGCCTTTCCCCTGTCCTCCGAGGGAGTGTTTACTAGTGCTAGATCTCTCGCCACCTCCACCCCTTGACTCGGTAATCCGTTCTCCTGTGCCACAGGCACCAGTGGCAGCTCACGCTGTTCTGTGCTTGGCCTTGCGTGCCCCTCTGCTGCCCTGCCTGCTGTGCTTCCGAAGGGAGTAGAAAGGGCAGGGGCGGGTGGAGGAGGAGGAGCAGGGCGGGCGAGACCGGTGGGCGCAGGGGGGGCGAGGGGTGGAACGTGTGCAGATGGTGTAGGCGGGGCAAGGGGCATAAGGGGAGCATGGGGCGGATGGGGCGAATGGGAGGCAGGAGATGCAAGGCGTGCAGACGAAGGGGTTGCCGTGGAAGAAGGGAGTGCAGGGACAGCAGAGAGTGCAGGAGGTGCAATGGCGTCAGGGGTGGCAGGAGGTGCAGGGGCAGCAGAGGGTGCATGGGGTGGAGGGGCGGCAGGGGATACTGAAGGCGGCGATGCAACATGTGGCAGCACTGATGCGAGAGCAGCTGCTGAGATCTGCAACCTATGCCGACTGCCGCACGCCCCTCTTGCTCCACCTCCACTCCCATCAGAACCTTCCTGGCACCCCTTTGCCATCCCACCTGCTTGCCAAGACCCCGCCTCTTCCGCCTGCCCAATCTGCCCCGCCTGCCCAATCTGCCCTGCTTGCCCAATCTGCCCCGCCTGCCCAATCTGCCCCGCTTGCCCAATCTGCCCCGCCTGCCCAATCTGCCCCGCCTGCCCAATCTGCCCCGCCTGCCCAATCTGCCCTGCCTGGCCTGCCTGCCCCATCAGCCCAACCAGCCTGGCAGTATTTTCCTCACTCAACCCCACCCCCACCTCCACCCCCACCCCCTCCTGTGCCTCCTGCTTCTCCGCCTTCACTACTCCCCCAGCCACATCAGCCCCCGCACCCCTCATCAGAGCAGCTCTTGCACCCCCAGCCCCTTGCTCTTCCCTCTTGACTGTGGCATGACCTGCTGCAGCAGGTGTAGAGTCAGGTGCAACAGATGCTGCAGCAGGTGTAGAGTCAGGTGCAACAGATGCTGCAGCAGGTGTAGAGTCAGGTGCAGCGACAGATACTGAAGCAATTGCAAGCTTAACATCAGGCACGTCAGGTCTAGAACCAGGTGCAGCAGAAGCTAAAGCAAAGACAGCAGGTTTTACATCCGGGACGTCAGGTGTTGAGTCAGGTGCATCAGGTGGTGGACCAGGTGGTGGTAGGTCAGGTGCCCGCCCACCTGATGGACCAAACACCCCTGCATCCCCATCTCCACCACTCTCAACCATTTCGTCTTTCACTGCACCTCCTGTCAAACGTGCAGACGGTACATCAGGTACCCACCCACTAGGTGCCCCTTCCCCAGGTGTCCCTTCCCCAGGTGTCCCTTCCCCAGGTGCCACATCTGCCCCTCGCGACCCCACATCCTCCTCCTCCAGCACAGCGCTTGCCGCAATCTCTGCCCACAGCCCCGCCATCCACCCTGCCTCCTCTGGTTCTTGCTTCTGTTCTTGCTGTTGCTGTTGCTGCTGCTGTTGCTGTTGTGGTTGTTGCTGTTGCTGTTGCTGCTGCTGTTGCTGTTGTGGTTGTTGCTGTTGCTGCTGCTGCTGCGGCTGCACACTCGTCCCTTCTCCCTGTTGCAACAATCCCCCATCACCTCCCCCGTCGCATGCCTCATGCTTGACCTCTCCCAGGCCCCCAACCCCACCAGAATTTCCACCTGCACCTGCTGCACCAGCGTCATGTCTCGTTACACAGTCTCCTGCACCCCCTCCCACTGCCCCACCTCTCACCTCTTCCTCCACAGAGGGAGGGGTAGAGGAGGGAAGGGAGGTGGGAGGAGTGGAAGTGGGAGGTGCGGAGGTGGGAGGTGGAGGTGGAGGAGTAAAAATGAATGAATTGGAGGTGGGAGGGGTACTTGAGAGAACAGGGCCAGAGACAGTACGTGCACTGGGTGGGGGCATGGTGGGATGCGATGGCGGGAGGGAAGAGGGATGGGAGGATGGGAGAGAGGCGGGACCGGAGAAGGGAATGGAGGAGGGAAGGGAGGAGGGAAAGGAGGATGGGAGAGAGGAGGGAAGTGAGGAGGTGGGAAGAGTAGCAGCAGCAGGAGGAGAAGCAGACGAAGGAAGGGGAGCAGGGAGCATGAGAGGGAGGGCAGCAGCAGCAGCAGGGCCAGCGGAAGAAGGAGGAGGAGAAGCGGGCATGAGAGGGAGGGCGAGAAGGTAGTTGAGGACGGCACGAGCCTTGGTGGACATGCGCGAGGGAGAGAAGAAGAGCGGATCATTTTCAGCCTCCAGCTGCTGCTGCTGCTGCTGCCCTCCCCTCCTGTCTGCCAGTGAAGTTGGTGCTAACGCGCCTGCCGCTGCTCCCATCCCCATCCCACCCCCACCACCACCCATCACCACCCCTCCTGCACCCATCCCGGCGCTCCCTCCACCTTCCAGCTCCGAAAACTGGCAGAGCGAAGCAGGCGAGAGGGCTTTGGAGCAGCAGGGGCAGAGGGCGGGATCACACTGAGCGAGGTGCTGCAGGGCACATTGCTCGCAGAAGGTGTGCAGGCACACCGACAGCACCGGCACCTCCGCTGCATCCCCACATAACTCACACACTGCCTCTCCCCCCACCTGTGCAACCTGCCGAACTAGCTCAGCGCGCTTACCCACTGATAGCCTCCCTACTGACCCGGCAAACACACTCCGCCTCCCCGGCGCCCCACCACTCCCCCCTCCCCCTCCGCCAACCCCGCCCCTCCCCCGCGATGCTGCTCCTCCTCCTCCATTGCCTCTGGTCCGGGTGTCTGGCGCGATGGGGGCGCCCTTGGCGAGGGCGGGGTGGTTGCAGGCCTGGCGCAGGCGCAGCAGCATCGTGAGAATGTGCATGTAGTTGTTTTGCACCGTGCCCGCTGCCGCGTAGTCCTGGTAGGTTGAGAGGTGGGGAGAAGGGAGGAAGGACAGAGATATGGTAGAGGGGATGAAGGGAAGGGAAGGAAGGCGCAGCAGCATGGTGAGAATGTTCATGTAGTTGCTCTGCACTGTGCTCATGTAGTTGCTCTGCACTGTGCTCATGTAGTTGCTCTGCACTGTGCTCATGTAGTTGCTCTGCACTGTGCTCATGTAGTTGCTCTGCACTGTGCTCATGTAGTTGCTCTGCACTGTGCTCATGTAGTTGCTCTGCACTGTGCTCATGTAGTTGCTCTGCACTGTGCTCATGTAGTTGCTCTGCACTGTGCTCATGTAGTTGCTCTGCACTGTGCTCATGTAGTTGCTCTGCACTGTGCTCATGTAGTTGCTCTGCACTGTGCTCATGTAGTTGCTCTGCACTGTGCTCATGTAGTTGCTCTGCACTGTGCTCATGTAGTTGCTCTGCACTGTGCTCATGTAGTTGCTCTGCACTGTGCTCATGTAGTTGCTCTGCACTGTGCTCATGTAGTTGCTCTGCACTGTGCTCATGTAGTTGCTCTGCACTGTGCTCATGTAGTTGCTCTGCACTGTGCTCATGTAGTTGCTCTGCACTGTGCTCATGTAGTTGCTCTGCACTGTGCTCCCTGCCGCGTAGTCCTCGTACGTAGGAGCAAGGGGAGAAAGAGGGGAGGAGAGGGTGGGGATGACTGCAGGCGCAGCAGCAGCATGGTGAGAATGTGCATGTTGTGGTTCTGTACCGTGCCTGCTGCCACATAGTCCTGGTGAGAAGAGAAGGGGAGGAAGAGGAGAGAGAAGAGGGACGAGAGTGGGAATGAGGGCAGGAAGCAGTGCGATGAGGATGTGCATGTAGTTGCTCTGTACCCCTGCACAGGACGTGTTGCACAGTTCTGGTGAGAAGAGAGAGGAGAAGGGAGAGGGGAGTAGAGACAGATAATAAGGGGGATGAGGGATGCGCATGTTGTCCTGGCAGGGAGAAATTTTCTATTGATGCAGAAGGGGTGGAACTGGCAGCGCCAGGAGGCCTCAACCTCAACTGAGAGGTAGAAGGATGTTCTTTCAGATTGGGGGTGAACTGTGTAGGTAGAGTGCGTGTGAATGTACTATTAAAAGCAGCTGCGGCTTCACTCACGTGGAACTGGCGCTTGGAGGAGGCCTCGAGAGAGAGATAGAAGGCCCTCTCCTCTGCTGTGAACTCCGCTCGCTGCAGCGCCACTATGCGCGGTGGCAGGTTCACTATGGGCGCCCCCTTGATGCGCGTGGCTGGTGGGGTGGGGGGACAGGAGAGGGCGGAGCAGAGGGAACGGGAGAATGGAATGATGAGGATGTGCCACTACATGAGGTGGCAGGTTCACTATGGGCGCTCCCTTGATGCGCGTGGCTGGTGGGGGAAGTGGGGGAGGGCAGGTAAGGTCGGCGAGCAGAGGGCAGGGGAGAAGGGGATGATGGGGATCACTGCCCCACCACTATGTGCGGTGCCAGGTTCACTCACAGCGGGCGCACCTTTAATGGTGGTGCGGGTACTCGTGTGATTGATGCAGCACAGCTGACCAACCAACTAACAACTAGTACACACCTTAGGTGCATCTGCGCAGAGCATCACAGCGAGCAGCACAGCCGGCAGGCGCTCAAAGCCCTGGGACGGGTTGACTCGGCCCTTGATGAACTGTGGTGTGGAACGGAGCGTACTCGTGTGATGCAGCACAGCAAGCAGGGACTCAGGGACTTACCCTTGGTGCGGCGGAGCATGACAGCGAGCAACACTGCCTGCAGGCACTTAAACCCCTGGGAGGGGATGCGCGTGATCGGATCCTTGATGGTTGTGCGGAAGGATGCGTACTCATGTGGGACAGCAAGCAAGGACTCAGGGACTCACCCTTGGTGCGGCGCAGCATGACAGCCAGCAGCACGGCCTGCAGGCGCTTAAAGCCCTGGGAGGGGTTGCGCGTGATGGGGTCCTTGATGGTTGTGCGGAAGGACGCGTACTCGTCGTACGGGGTGAAGCGCAGGAAGCGCAGGTAGGAATACACATCGTCCACCGCATTCTGCATGGGCGTTCCCGACAGGCACCACCGCTTCTTGGCCCTCAGAGCCCAACATGCTCTCGCTACCTGGGGGTGGGTGGGGGGAAGGTCAACCAGGAAGCACAAGAAGCGCAGGAAGCGCAGGAAGCAAAGGTAGGAATACACATCGCCCACGGCGTTCTGCATGGACGTTCCCAACAAGCACCACCGCTTCTTGGCTCTTAAAGCCCAGCACGCCCTTGCCACCTGAGGGAGGGGAGAGGAGGGGGATGAAGGGGATGAAGGAGATGAACGGGGCGAGTGCAGGTAGGAATACACGTCGTTCACCGCGTTCTGAGCGTCGTCGTGCATGGGAGTACCGGAGAGGCACCACCACTTCTTGGCTCTCAACGCCCAGCACGCCCTTGCCACCTGGGGGAGGGTGCAATGGGGAAGGAGAATGGTTTTGAGGCGTGGAACAGCGGAACAGCGCGTACTCATCATACGGGGTGCAGCGCGGGAAGCGCAGGTAGGAATACAATACACATCGTCCACTGCGTTCTGCATCGGCGTGCCCGACAGGCACCACCGAATCTTAGCTTGAAGGCATGCATATGCCACTAACCCCCCCGCCCCTGAATTGATCTGGTGGCCTTATCACCCACCCACCTGCGTGTTGCGGTTCTTAATGGCCTGAGCCTCGTCCAGCACCACTCGCTGCCACGCCACCCCCGCAAGCGGACCCCCCACACTCCCCCCACTGCCCCCACTCCCACCCTCACCACCACCCGCCTTCCTCTTCCCCCCCGCCCCGCCCCCACCACCCCCACCAATCCCCATCACCTCCTCCCACGAGGGCTCTTTCCCTTTGCCCTTCCCCCCCTCGCCCCCATCACCGCCTCTACTTCCCCCCACGTCCATGGCGGCGATGGCATAGGTGGTCAGCACCACGTCGTACGATGCCACCTCCGCTGCACTCCGCGTGCGCCCCGGCCCATGATACACCAGCACCGATAACCCTCTTCCCCCGCCCCCTCTTCCTCCTACTCCTGTGTTTCCTCCTCCTCTCCTCCCTCCTCCTTCCCCAGTTCCACTAGCCAACCTCTCGTCTCCCACACCGCCAGCAGCGCCAGCAGAACCAGAAGCAGCAGCAGTGCCTGCTGCATCCCCCAGGGCACCTACGCGCTCGCGTATTTCCCGCTCCCACTGCCGTAGAATGCTCGTGGGGCACACCACCAGCGTGCCGCCGCTCACGCGCTTGCCCCTGCCACCTGTACCGCACGCTGCTGACGTGGCAGCTGCTGATGCAGCAGCTGCTGACGTGGCCGCTGCTGACGTGGCGGCTGTAGAGAGCTCAGGTGGCGTTGCTGCACCTGCCACTGACAGCATTGGAGCTGCTAGTCGTTGTTTCTTCCCATCCCATCTCCCCCGCCCCCTCTCCCTCTCCTCGTCTTCCTCCTCCAGATCAACCACTTCCATCTTGCTGCTGCTCCCTACTCCCATTCCTCCTCCTCCTGATGTTGCCACCGGCACCGCAGCAGCGGCAGCAGCAGCAGCACCACCACCACCACTTGTACCAGCGCCAGATGCACCAGCACCAGAAGGACCAGCATCACATGTACCCGCACCACCTGTCAGCAGCAGCATCTGCCCCTCCTCCCCAGCAACCCCCTTCCCCTTCTCCCTCTCCTTCCTCTCCCTCTCCCGGCCCTCCCGCACCCCCAGCACAATGAGTGCAATCGTGGTCAGCGTCTTCCCCAGCCCCTGGTCATCCGCCAGTATCCCCCCAGCAGGGATGGACGCCTCTCTGCGTCTCATCCACGCCACTGCCATGCGTTGATGTGTCAGCAACGGCACTCTTAAAGCCCCTGCCGGCATTTCTACCTCCTCTGCTGTTCCCGCGAGGGAGAGACCTTCCAGAATTTGCCGCATTGCGGTTTGCTGGTCTGGAGGGGGGTTGGGAGGGGTTGGAGAGGGTGCTTGGGGATACAGGTGCGGATGGTGGTGATGGTGGTGGTGGTGGCTGTGGTGGTGGCTGTGGTGGTGGGTGGGATGCGGATGGGTGTGGCTCGGTGGGAGGTGGTTGTGTGTGGTTCCGGCATCCACTCGCATCCTCTTCGCAGCTTGCTCTCCTGCCCTGTCTGTGTCCATGCGCCCACCAACACCACCATTGCTCCCCGTGCCTCCTCGAATGCTTGCCGGCAGCGACCTAAACTGCGGCAATCCAACCGATGGTGAGCTATCCCTTGTAATAAACGGAGCTAGATCAGGTTCTAAGTGTAATGTTTTGTGTGGGTCTATGCTATAGGCTCTGTGTCCCATGCCTGCTGCGTGTGCTGCGGGTGTTGTGACTGCTGTATGCAACGTGTGTGCTTGCCGTGCCACATGCTGACTCAGCTCAGCCTGTGGCAACCGTTGCACCAGCCCCTCGTCCCGCATGCTCCTGAAGTGCCTCAGAGCGTCAGCCGCACTCCTCCTCCTCGCCTCCACAAACTCTCGCCTCTCCTCCTCCCTATCCGCCCCTCTCCCTCCCATCCCAACCCCAAACCACTGCCATGCATTACCACCTGCGCCTTCCCTCCCTCTCCTCCTCCCACTCCCACCACCTTCCCCCTCTCCGTCCTCTTCCTCCTCATCATCATCCCCTTGGTCTCGGAGCAGCACGCGCTCGCCAAACCGGTCTCTCACCTCCTGCTCCAGAAGCACCTGCTGCCTCGCCTCCTGCTGCTGCCGCTGCCACTGCAAAACCTCTTGCTGCACCTGCTGCTGCTGCTGCTGCTGGTTAATCTGCTGCTGCTGCTGCTGGTTACCCTGAAGCTGATTACGCTGCTGCTGCCCAACGCTCCCCCGGCCTCTGCTTCTCTCACCTTCGTCCCGCCGACCCCTCTGCCTCTGCGGTGACAGAACAGCCTTCAGCTGCCCCAGCTGCTCCCACTGCTGCCTCACCTCATCACCCACCTTATCATCCTCATCATCACTCGCCATACTGATCACACTCACAACACTACTCTCACTCCCCTCACTCCCCTCTCTCCCTACCCCTTCAACCACACCCCTCCCCTCCCTGCCCTCCCTCCCATCACCAGCACCGCCTAATCCCAATCCTGTACCTATCCCCACGCCACCCCCCAATCCCCGAACCGTGTTTCCAGTCGTGCCGCCCACCATGCCGCCCATTACGCCACCCGGCATGCCGCCCGGCACGCTACCCAGAACGCCGCCCGGCACGCTACCCAGAACGCCGCCCGGCACACCGCCCAGAGCGCCACCCGGCATGCCGCCCCCCATGGAGCGCATCATCTGTCTCTGCGCGGTTCTGAGCCTCGCCTGCAGCATGGCTTCCTGCACCTCCCGCCCGCTCAGCTCCATCACATCCTCATCCTCGTTACTAGCCACCCTGTTACTAGCACCACCAGCCCTCCTGCTGCCGTTCATGTTCCCGCTGCTTCTGCTGCTGCCCAATTGCCCCTGCTGCTGTCCCTGCTGCCCCTGCTGCCCCTGCTGTTTCTGCTTCTGCGGCTGCTGCTGCTGCTGCTGCTGCTGTTGCCACAGGAGCTGCTGCAGCTGCTGTTCTGCGTACTCGTTGTCACTACCATCATCACTGTCGGCATCAACCTCATCATCGCTCAACCACACCACGTCCATCTCATCCTCTTTCGCTTCTGCACTTGCACTCCTGCCTGCTGAGCTAGCGCCACCAGCACCAGCACCCGCTATTGCTTTTTCAATCGACTCCAAAGGGCCATCTGCACCTGCTGCTGCACCACCAGCTGCACCTGCTGCTGCACCACCAGCACCAGTGGCGTCGGCAGTGGCAGCGGTGGCGGCAGGTGAGGCGTTGGTGGTGGTGGCAGCGGCAGAAGAACGAGGGCCTGTGGGAGAAGCAGCCGGTGCAGCATCAGCAGCAGCAGCAGCAACAGCAGCATCAGAAGAAGCAGGAGCAGTAGGGGGGTCAGAAGCACCCGCAGGATCAGAAGCAGCACCTCCATCCACCGTCAAACCACCATCCTTCGGCAAGCCTCCACCCATCACCCATGCTGTAACGCTCTCGCCATGCGCCGAGCCTACACCGTTCCCATGCATGCGTGGCGCATCCTCATCTCCTCCCTCCTCACTCTCACTCTCACTCTCACTCTCACTCTCACTTTCAATCTCACTCTCCCTCTCCCTCTCCCTCTCCCTTTCCCTCTTACTCTCACTCGCCTTTCCCGCTTCCCTCGCAGAAGCACCAGCATCTGCACCCATGACGTCAGCCATTGCGGAATTACCACCGAAAGGTAACCCTATTCTATCACTGTCTGGTAACCCTATTCTATCACTGTCTGGTAACCCAATCTTTGCACTGTCCGGCAACCCTAAATCGACACCATCTGGTAACACCGTACTACCACCGTTTATATCAGCAGCATCGGGTAACCCCATGTCGGCACCGTTGGTTAACCCTGCATCAAAACCGTCGAGTAACCCTATATGAGCACCTTCGGGTAACCCTATATTAACAGCGTTGGGTAACCCTGTATAAACACGGTCGGGCAACCCTATATCAACAGAGTGTGGTAATCTTCCAGGAACACGGGCAGAGCCCCCGACATCCGTACCTCCTCTTTCACGGCCGGCTATCCCACTCCCTTCCCTTCCACCCTCCTCCCCCTCCTCCTCGCTTCTCACGTCGCGAAAATCGCCACCGTTGAAATGATCCGCCTTCTCACCATCAACGGTCGCGATGTTTTTAAGATCGAAGTCGGCGTCATCGTTAATTCTCTCCTCAGTGCTACACTCCTCCTGGTTTTCACGGAAGTAATCGCCGACATTAGTGAGTCCGACATCCCCGTTGAAAAGAAACTCGTTATTGACACCGGCTATATCCTGGCTTTTACAATTTTCTGCGCCATCAATTGTACCGACATCCAAACCGAGTGACGTGTCACGCGGGGACGCAGTGGTGACATGGTGTGCTGATGTGGATGGCATCGTACTGCTAGAGCATGCGGTTCGCGCATGAGCTACAAGGCGCAACAGCGACGTCCTGTGCTATGACGGAATCGATTAGTCCTATGCCACCCTGAATGAACTAGTAGCAAGCGTGACTAAGAGGAACTTCAACAAACCAGAAGTACACCTGAGAGAAAAGAGTGACAAAATTATAACATATACATATACGTTATGTTAACACATAGATGCGTGGTCCCATGGTGTAGTGGTCATCACGTTTGCTTTACACGCAAAAGGTCACGAGTTCGAAACTCGTTGGGGCCAGGGTTTTGCCGAATGCAACTTCTCACCTCCCTGACAGTTTTCCGCTTAGGGTTGAAGTCGCTTGAAAATTCTCAACAAGCAACGCCCAACACTAACCGCGTTTCGTTTTTTTTGCAGACCTTAAGAAACCCAGCCTTTGTTCCTCACAGTTGAGGGAACATAATGAACGTTGTTCCTCTTGACGACCCAGCATCGTCGGATCTTTTGACGACTGAGTCAAATCCGTTCGATCGGCTTCCACAAGAGATCCTCGCCGTCATCTTGCGCCACGTGGCGCCATCCGGCACGTCCTTTCAGCACGCGTTGGTGTGCAAGCGATGGCATTGCGCGGCGTGCCTCGCGCAGTCATCAGTCCACGTGGCGAAATCTCGAGCCATCTCCTCCCCGCGCCTCCTCCTCGCCCTCTCCCGCTTTCCCCGCCTCACCCACCTACATATCGATCGAGACGGAGTCGATTTCTTAGACGACGGGTTCCTGACAATTCTCGCTAAAGGTGCTTGTAACGGGTGTGACAATTACGCGGACGAGGAGAAGGAAACGGAATTGGAGGAGGAGGAAAGTCACGAAGAAGGATCGGGAGCCATTGGCGCCGGGCAGAGATTAGGTCTGAACGGCACTGGCAGTACTAGGGTCAGCGGCAATGGTGGTATAGTGGACGGCACCCGCGGTGGACTGGGCGGCACTGGTGATACAGTGGGCGGCGGCGATCATAAGCCACATGGCATCCGACACTCCTGTGGCATTGGCTCGTCACTGGAGAGAATGGCGAGAATGACCATCGACGGCACCCGCGCAGCAGAACAACATGCTCTCGCGTCCCCGCTCCCACCGCCGCATACCCAGCCTCGCACCTCCCCTCTCCGCTCTCTCTTCCTCGCGGAGGACCCGCGCTCCCCCCCGCGCATCACAGCAGCAGGCCTGGACTCTCTCTTTCTCCACTGCCGCCTCTTACGCTCCCTCGCCCTGCACTGCGGCCGTGTAGTCACCACACTTCCCCCCTCTTTAGTCACACTGCCTGCACTCACATCCCTAGATATTTCCATGCCCTGCCTGGGCAGTCTTCTGGAAAATTTCGGCTCCCTGACCGTCTTGAGGGTTCTTAGGCTGGAGAGCCCCAGTCTTAGCTCTCTGCCTGAAAGCCTCGGGCAGCTGAAATTACTGGAAGAGCTCACTCTCCGGTCCCTGTCCGCCCGGAATCTGCCCGATTGGATCGGGCAGCTTAGCAGCCTCACCTGCCTGAACATCGAAAGTTGTTCTTTTCGGCACCTGCCCGAGTCTCTGGGCAGCCTTCGTTCCTTAACCTCGCTTCGCCTCTCGTCCCTTGATTTCGACTCCTTGCCAGAATCCATCGGCCAGCTTTCCGCCTTGAAACATTTCGTCCTGGAAAAAATGCCCGTGACAAGTCTGCCCGAGTTTTTTGGGCACCTGGAAAACCTCTCTGTGCTCCAATTGAACGACTGTGATTCGCTCCTCTCCCTGCCTGACTCCCTCTTCACCCTGCCTTCCCTATCCACCTTTCTCATTGGCTGCTGGGCCCTCCCCGCACTACCAGACAAAATCTCCCACTTGTCAGTTTTAGAACGTTTGGAGTTGAACTCATGTGAGGGCCTCACCTCCCTTCCAGAATCTCTTTCCGAGCTGCCCGCCCTGAAACACCTCGAAATTTCTTCCTGCCCCTGCCTAAAATCCCTACCAGCATCACTCAACCAGCTGAAGCATCTAACCACCCTGGAAATCCACAATTGCGACTCGCTCTCGCTCCTCCCCCAATCGTTCCCTCTCCTCCCGTCCCTCTCGCGCCTTGTCATTGTAGGGTGCTCCCATTTGAGAGAGCTTCCGAGGAACCTGGGCCAGCTGAGCAGTCTACGGGTGCTGGAGTTGGGTCTGTGCAAGAGCCTGAGGAGTTTGCCAGACTCGATAATGGAATTAGGTCGGTTGGAAAGAGTGGTGGTGCTCGGGTGCAGGAGACTGGAGAGTGTGCCGGAAGGGATTGCAGAGATGCCGAGCGTGCAAGAGGTGGTCTTTAGAGAGTGTGATGCTCTTGTGTGACTGTATTGAGACGGTTGGAGCACTTACGTTCGACATGGGCAAACTTTAGGGGAGAGCTGCCGAGTCTAGGGGTGCTGGAGTTGGGGCTGTGCAAAAGCCTAAGGAGTTTGCCGGCTTCCATCATGGAATTGGGTCGGTCAGTTGGAAAGAGTGGTGGTGCTTGGGTGCAGGAGGCTGGAGAGTATGTCGGAGGAGGGGATTGCAGAAATGGCAAGTGTGCAAGAGGTGGTGTTCAAGGAGTGTGTCGCTCTTGTGTGAATGGTTGAATTGAATGGTAGTGGAGTGGAGACGTGTGTGAGTCGACTCAAAAGAGGTGGTGTTTAAGGAATGTGACGCTCTTGTGTGACAGGTAGTGGAGTGGAGACGTTTGAGCCGAGGCTTGAGAAGTCTGCTTGTGGAGGTAGTAGGAGGCGGGGTTGTAGGGATGAGATAATTGTACATGAGGTACTGATTAAAAATGTATATTGTGATGTACCATATATACAAACCGTACAGTATTTATAACAGAGGTTGCAGGTACATCAGGGGGGAGTTATTCATGACACTTGGGATGGCCTCGTGTGTAATGCTTTCATGCCATTCATGTGAATTATCCACACATGTATTGCAGTAAGAACGGCATGCCATGCCATGCCACCGGCCCACCGCCATCGTTCGTTGCGTGTCGTTGACGCCTATGTACACAGACACAAATACATAAAAATGACCAGCACACGTGCAACTATACGGTATCTGAAGTGGATACGGTAGCCATGTACCGTAATCCCCCGTATATAAGACCCTAGGGTATTATGATAATCACCCCTAAAAAGGCTGGGGGGTATAACTCAACTAGACTCGAATAGAGTACCCGGGTCCGTATTATAGACCCGGGGGTCTACAACTGGGGGGGGTCTTATATACGGGGGATTACGGTAGTCCATGTGTGCAGTGAACGTTCAGCACCCCTAAACCTCATCTGCACCTGCGCCGCTCCCAGCCCTGCCGTCAACTCCCATGAGTCCCTCGGCCTGCCTCTGCCAACCACCTCTCCTGATTCGTCTCAAGATTCCCCTCAGCCTACGATCCACACTCACCAGCACCGCAGCCAGCATCACAGCCCCTCCCGACACCGTCGTCAGCACCCAGAAATCCCTCGGTCTGCTGATCACCGCAGCTAGCACCAGCGCTACCAGCTGCATTCCCTGCTGCAACGACTCCTGCACTCCCCCCACCGCGCCTCTCTCCTCCTCCACCACCGCCCCCTGCACCATCTGCAGCACAGACAGATCAAACACCCAGAGAGGAGCTCTTGAGAGCACCACTCCTGCCATCAGCAGCACTGCTGGTATCGGCCCTGACGATTGGAGAACCAATCCCGCGACGACACACGGCAGGAGGCACGCCAGCTGCGACCACACGGAAGCCTCGGCGGTCCGGCTCGGCCCGAGCCTGGCGCAGAGGCTCGGGAAGAGGGTTGCCCCAAGCACGCCGGTGACAGCCGCGGCTCCGCTTGCCGAGCCTAGGAGACCGAGAGGGACGCCTTGGGAGTGCAGATAGGCGCACATGAGAGATCCGAAGGAGAGGACAGTGAGGTACAGAAGGGCAAGGGCGAGGGAGGGGAAGAGGGAGGTCTGGCGGAGGTAAACTGTCCAGGCGGATCGAAGGGTGGTCAGCCAGGAGGTGAGGAGGAGGCGGAGGTGGTGGAGGGAGGAGAGCAGGTGGTATAAGAAGGAAGGGTTGTGGGCGGTGGAGGGGATGAGGGGAGGCTCGCTGCTGCTGCTGCTTCTGGTGGTAGTGGTGGTGGTGATGATAGGGGCGGCTGGGGAGTCTGAAGGGGTGATAGGAGCAGGTGGGGTTGGATTAGCTGCTGAAGGGACCAGGATCTGCCCATCCCCTCCCTCATGCTCCTTCCCATTGTCCCCTTGTGCTTTCACTCGACTCTTAACATCCAACGCTCCATTCTTATCATCCCCTCCACGCCCCACCCCTCTCCCTCTCCCTTGTTCCTCCTCCTCTTCCTCCTCCGCTTCCTCGTCCTCCTCTTCTTCCACCTCTTCCTCCTCCCCTCCCTCACTTTCTCTCTCCCTCTCACCAGCCCTTTCGTCCTCCACCATTCCCTCCCCTGCTCTCTCCTTGCGCCTCTCCCCCAGCGCGGGCACCTGCGAGTGGACAAGCGCCAGCAGCAGCAGCTCCGCAGCAGCGGCCACGAGGACCCACACTGCCATGGCGAGCGGCAGCGACACGGGCAGTAACTCGTGACGTGCGGGCGACGCTGGAGATGTAACAGCGGAAGGGGGAGTGGCGGAGGGGGAGGCGGCGGAGGCGGAGGCGGACGTGGATGCAGAGACAGCAGCGGCCATGAGGGCGCCAGTGACGGCCGGGGCGAGCAGGCGGCAGAGCAGGTCGATGGTGCGAAGAGTGGAGTTGAGCCGCGCTCGCACGCGCTCCCGCTGCTCCCTCCCCTGCTGCTCTTGCTCCTGTCTCTGCTGTCCCTGCTGTCCCTCCCTCCCCTCCTGCTGCCCCTGCTGCTGCACAGTCAGAACCTCCTGTGTCTGCGCTGCCTTGTCCCGGCAATTAGCGTCCGCATCCCCTCCCCCCCCTGCTTCGCTGACTCCACTCTCTTCTACAACGTGTGTCCGCAAGTGATGCTCTCCCCCCCCGTCCCTCCCCCCCTCCTCTCTCTCCCGCCGCGCTGATTCGCTACAAGCCTCCCCGTTATCGAACGGCACCTGCGTTTTAGTCGCATCCTCCTCATTTCCCACCACCACCTCCACTACTCCCCCTCCTCTCTCCCTTTCGTCTTGCCCCCTGTCCTCCCATCCCCCCTGCCGCCCACATCCCCTTTTCAAATTCGCAGCACCTTCCTGCTCGCAAACCCAATCCGCAATCACCACTGCCCAATCACGTTCCACCGCGATCCCGCGCGCCAATCCGGCGAGAGCAGCCGCAGCGCCCAGCACGCAAACCGCCGCCACCAGCGCCACGTCAGCTCCCGTTTCGGCTGCTCCGGTCACCCATGCGAAAAGATCAGGCCCAGCGGAACTTGCGGCGGCGGGTGCGGCGAGAAAGTCGGCGAGGTAGAGGAGAGCGGCGACGGCAATCGCGGCGAGAAACAGAGCGGCATTTTGAGCGGAGATAGCGAAGGCAGCTAGTGGTAAACGCGGACAAAGATCCACCCACGTTCCTATGGGGACGGAGAATAAAGACATCGCGAGCGACTCGGAAAGTCCGTAAAGCGCCACGAGGAGCAAAGAGGCTGATCCGGCGCTACTACCGGAGGTGACTGTAGAGGAGGAAGAGGAAGCTGACGTGGCAGTGTACGAGGAGTCTAGGAGAAAGAGCGGCACCGCGAATTCCCACATGCGATTGGTCCATCGGGAGAGGAAATGAGAGACGTAAAGCGCGAAGAGAGTCGCCTTATGAGGAAGCTTCGAGGGAAGTCTCGGAGAGAGGGCAGCCTGGAGGGCGTTCACGAGCTGAATGACTCGATGCGGAAGAGGCGCAGAGTGCTTGTATTGAGAAGCTTTATAACGGGAATCTGAATCTGCTGCGTGTTGTTTATCGCAGTTCCCAAGGGCCAGAGCGGACTTGCGCCGCCTTGTGCGCTCTCGCGCGTGCTTGGATTTCTTTCTTTTTGTTCTGAGCTTGGTTTGTGATTCGTCGAGAGCAGCGGAGGAAGGGGCGTCGCCAGCCAATAGAAGCGTCTCCTCGAGACCAACGCTGGTGCTGCTGCTGCTGATGCGACTGCTGCGTAGCGGATCCCCGGATTCGTCTCCGGGATCGGCTCGGAAACCGCACTCGCTGGCCATGTCTGCAATTCCTGTTCCAGTGTGATTCTGAACGAATCACAATCTGCGATTCCTTGATCTGCAGCACAGTCCCCTCCTCCTTCTCCTCCTCCTGCGATCTTTGAGTCGACGTAAAGAATCTCAATCTGCAACACAGTCTCCTAGTCCTCCTGGATCCTGGGTGTTTCACGTTGCTGGGTCGGATCCTCGTAGACGAGTTGACTTTTGAGTCGACTCGAAAGTCTACTCCTGGGTCCTGGGTCGGCTCCTCGAAGACGACTTTCGAGACGTCTCAACACTCTTGCAATCCTCGGTCAGTCCCTCCAGACGAGTCTGTCTATCTGCGCGTCGCAGGGTTCTTTTTAGCTGTCGGCGGGTTCTGGAGCCGAGACAGCGTAGCAAGTTCAGTAAGGACAATGGAGGTGTCTTTAAGGAGAAAAGGAGTTAGTGATCGTTAGCACGTTCTGAGTGCGTCGTTGAATCGAGAGCGGCACGCAGGACCCTAGAGCCAGCAATTCCTTTTAACCTCGGCCACGAACTCACCGTCCTCGGTTCTTTCCTTCCCCAAGAAAGTGAGGAAAGGCGAGGCACACGTGCTCGACTTTCTCACCGTCTCTCCCGCCACGCGTCCCTCCACAGCGAACGGGACATGCATCTGCGAGGGAGCGGGACGCCAGGAGAAGGAAGTGTGAGATCGCCTTCCTGCGAACTTGGGACAGGACAGCCCCCAAAAGTACAACTATCTGGGTCCAGCGTGGCAGATTTCACGTTGCTTCCACGCTGCTTTCACGCTCTCACCTACTCTCCAGTGTGCGATCAAAATTTCCTGCACGACTCCATCTACGATCTGTGATCGCATCTCAAATCTAGTTGGTCAAGCCCAACCGTCCGATCATGAGGGGTGTTCGCACGTTGGGGACCTCTGAACAATTGCGACGTCCAGATTCGTTCCCCCTCCACCTCATCATCCTACCCCAATCTCTTGCACGCGCGGAATGCACTTTTCGCTGTCCCCACTTCAATGTCCGGACACCCCAGGAAGGCGATCTGAAACACGAGCAAACAAAACCGCGGAATGGGCATCAGCTGCTAGAAATACAGTTTGGGAAATTATACGCGCAGTCACAATTTTGGCCGTATTATCACGTTTGGTCACGAGGTTATCACGGACAGTCACAGTACAGTACTTCGCTATCACGTGTGATCACAGCGCTATCACGCGTGGTCACACCTCGCCCCGCAGGGTTATCACGTTTGGTCACTCGTTGAAACGCCCGCCAAAAAGTCGAAACTCTCAAATCTACTGTACAGATTCGGGTACTATTATCTCGCGCGCGTTTTGTCTGTAGTGAAAAACGTGATGTGACTGTCGAAATATACTCGGACCTTGTTAGGGACCGATGCAGTTTAATGCACAGTCCGCATGTTGCAGTGAATATAAGCGATCAATAACAGTTTCGATTATACAATTAGTTTAGGGTGTGCATTTCAGAAGCAGCGTCGATTAGTCTCTCACATTGTAATTGATACCTTGACATTATGTTTTGCACGCGCAGTAATAAATAACCCAATTAACCCAAGTCCAAACCCTAATTTGATCACTTACGAGCAAGTCAGGTAGATGGAGTGATGTGTTCGGTTTGGTTGTACTTGCTACAATCTGATTCGGCAAGATCGAAACATCTGTTGTATTTTCACTATTGACTCAAATTTGTAGTCCCCGGACTTGGGTTAATTGGGTTATTTATTACTGCGCGTGCAAAACATAATGTCAAGGTATCAATTACAATGTGAGAAACTAATCGACGCTGCTTCTGAAATGCACACCCTAAACTAATTGTATAATCGAAACTGTTATTGATCGCTTATATTCACTGCAACATGCAGACTGTGCATTAAACTGCATCGGTCCCTAACAAGGTCCGAGTATATTTCGACAGTCACATCACGTTTTTCACTACAGACAAAACGCGCGCAAACGCGCGCGAGATAATAGTACCCGAATCTGTACAGTAGATTTGAGAGTTTCGACTTTTTGGCGGGCGTCTCAACGAGTGACCAAACGTGATAACCCTGCGGGGCGAGGTGTGACCACGCGTGATAGCGCTGTGATCACACGTGATAGCGAAGTACTGTACTGTGACTGTCCGTGATAACCCCGTGACCAGACGTGATAATACGGCCTAAATTGTGACTGCGCGTATAATTTCCCATACAGTTTTGTGAGTGTGTGTGTGATGCTCTGTTCTTGGTGCGTGGAGAATGTCTTTCTCGCACGTGGCGCGGAGGGTGAATCTCTCTCGAATCTCCTGCGTGGAAATACGTGTGGCTCAGAGAGCCTCGATTGCCACTTCGTTTCTGACAGGGCCGCGAGTCAGACCCAAAACAACCAATCAACAAGAAGCAGATTTTTCGTTCAAACTTCTGGAAGTTCCAGTAGGATGACACCGTTAAAGCCCGCAGCCCAAGTTGTTCAACCTTAGTAAGGCTGACCGCTGGGCTGTGGACTCGAGACTTGATATTAACATTCCATATTCTGTACCAAACGATATATACGTAACACTGGAGCTTAGCACGGCATTGTACAAGTGTTTTCTGAATATCAGGCATCATGGTGTAAACTCCCAACACCCTTGCCATAATGCCTCAGTCCCTACAACAAATTTTTATATGATATTCAGTCCCTCTTGGACCTCCGAGAACTTGAAGCTTGCATGATTGAGGCCTCTGCTGAAATGATGCGCGCCCAGCAGCGCCAGAGAATGAGAAACGGCACCAGAATCCAGATGGCGTTCATGCCAACAAAATAGCCCCAAAAGTAGATCGGATGGGGGTCTGAGTGGGGAAAGCCTTCCAAGTAGCTCGTGGCAAAGTACACAGCTGCTCCGTACAGCTGCCCAAGAGACACTGTGAACTGCAGCAGATTGCTGAAGGGCTTCCTGGCTGCGATGGCATACCTGCATGCAGAAGGATGAACCCACAAAAGCATTGAAGCTGTCTAAGTCCCATAGACAGTTGGGCAAAAAAGGCTAAGTGAAACAAGTGTAAGGAGGAGCAGCTGTAAGCAGCACTCACAGAATGAGGATGCAGGCAGGGCCTTCGATGAAGGCAGTGACTGCCTCGAGAGAGACAATGCAGGTGTCACGGGTGGCATATCGTGAATCCGATATGGCGTACTCCTTCCCTGCATGGAAGTGAAGAGCAGGGCAGAAAGGAGGCGAAGTAATTATTTAAACCTCATCCAAAAGTGCATTAAGGAATGGTTGAAAAAAAGGAAAGGGTTTAAGAGTGGGTTAAGACACAGCACGGGCACGGACAGGGGGAGAACTAATGTGAAATGGGAGACTAGGCTACTGTGGAAAAATGAGAAATAAGGTCAATGGGAGAGTAGGCGAATGGAAAACAATTAGGCGTGCGTACAGGCATCGAGGAGGAAGGCCTTGCTGGTGCTGCTGATGAGGGCGGGGAAGGCGACAAATGCTCCCTCCATGAGCATGTGAATGGCACCCGTCACGGCCCACCAGCTGAAGGTGAACCGCTCCGACGCTGATAGATGGCGACATGAGCCTGGATGAAAGGGGAAAGTGGTGGGGGAGAGGGGGTGGGAGGGGGAGGGGGGAGAAGAGGGTGGGGGTGAGGACAATGAGACGGGACTAAGAGCCTGAAATGGGTGGTGATGAACTTTGAAGGACAATGAGAGGGGAAAGCGCAAGAGGCTACCAACACGGGTCAGCAGGCGAAGAGATGAGCCTCTGTAACACCGATTAGCGAGAATGGGAGACAGGCGGGAGGATCAGAAGGTTGACGGAGAATGAGGAATGGTGGAAGCTGGAACGATCTGACTTATCAGGCGAGATCGGAATTGCGTGGCTGCTGACTAGACGACAGAAAATGCTGGACTGGACGCGAACACCTGCTTCCGGAAAAAGCGTGCGCCTGATACGTCGACTCACGTGCGAAGAACCATGAGAGGATGAGGATCAACCCGACCTATTAAGGCGCCTGAAACGTCAACTCACGCGCGAAGAGCCATGAGAGGATGAGGATCAACCCGACCTATTGAGGCGCCGTCAACTCACGTGCGAAGAGCCATGAGAGGGTGAAGATCACCCCGACGGCCACCCCGAAAACGCCGAAGAGCTCGGCCGTGCTCCACGCTGGTGGGACGTAGTCAGGCAACACGATGTCGCGCGGATAGTACGGATGCGCGACGCCGCCTGCCATGGTCAATGGTCAAGCCCGATGTGGTTCGATAAATAATAGCTGATCGAAAAATGTTTATGTTTCCTGACCAGCACCACGTGGCGACTTCTGAGCCACCCGCTTGCTTGGCGTGAGAGCAGATGACGCCTCACGAGGGTGTGGGTACAAGGCATGCTGTGCGGTTTACGACGGTGAATGTTTGTTTTGGCTATCACCGCTTTCCACAATGAAGTACCTGAGTGAAAGCACGCTGATTGTTACGAGTGCAATTGAGGGCGGGTCCAACTCATCACAGCTCAGGTCAGTTTGGGGAACAGTAACCCTTTTTTGTAGGGTAACCGCATCAAGATTCGAAAACAGTCTGGATGACGTGCTCAGTTTCCCATCTTGCAAAACCAGTCACATTTCAGATCACGATGTGCATTCGAAATTCAAACGATAAAATTGCAAACTGGACCGCGGTCCCAAATCAAACCCTCGCTGGCTCACTTGCTGGTAACAAGCTTTACCTTCGTCAAGCGAATGAGTTGTAGATCGCTTATGCAGATTCAGTCGCCCAACATTTCTGAAATTTCCCACACACCAATTTCCCGCGAATCCACAACACAATACGAAGCAGCGAAGCTCCGCATACATTGCCGCACTTCACGGCAGTGGAGCAAAGTGCCAACTGTAGATGGAGTCGCGGAAAAAGGGCCTCTAAGTACGGCGCACATAGCCTAGTCCTCAAACATGTTTAGGCACGTATTCGTCTTAAATCGAAAGCCGCCCCTCACTTTGACCGCATTGGCCGCATTTCACGGCATAATGGTAGACCCGCCGCCATTATGCCTAAGACAGCAAAGCAGTCGCAATCGCGACTCGAACGATGTCACGGCGATGATGCGGGGCCGCCACGTATATCACGTAACCCCGGTATCCTTTACTTTGCAAGGTAGCTGCTGGAACCGCATAACTGGAAACCGAACTGGAAAACTATCGCGAAAAAGGGCTTTGCCATAAAGCTGCGGGAATGTTGCAAAAATGATACTTTTTGGATTCCTTGGTTTTGCAACTTTCCAGTTATGGTCAAATGTTGCAGAGATCATGGTTGCGGGAAAGTTGCGAAAAAGTTGCATATACATTTCAGACACATGTATGCAGTTTCACCACCTGCCACGTGGCCTGCGCACAGTTTAGACTTCAAAGTGTACGTACGCTGGTATGTACGTGAAGATTTTTTGCCACGTAAGCAAAGATATTTGTGCCAGGTGTCATTCTCGATATGTGTACGGCAAATTGCCATGTGGGCCAATCAGACATTACCTTGAAGTGTGCGAAACTTGATTTCTACAAGCCGCCGTTTTGCCTGAACTGCACAAGCGGAGATTTCGTTTCACTGGCTGATTGTTATTGCTATTTTTTATGTATACATTCGTCTGCAACACAATATTTCTGACATTTGCGTACATACTTCAGAAGTATACACTTTGCGAGAACACAGCAAAACAACGAACACAGCTAGACCCAAGTACTTAAACGTAGCTAAACATCTTATTTGAAGGGCACACATGGCAAAAAAATGTGTCGTTTTAACGCCTGCAAACAAAACAATGACATAACGTTAAGACTTTGGTTACTCATGTGCTTGTTCCCCACCTTAGTGACTTACCACCAGCGGGCCTTCACCGTCACTCATAACATTGCCTTAGATATGCTTGAGAGCTTCTGGGTATTGTTCAAACGCCTGGAAACATCTATTGACTTCCATGAACCCTGCACATGGAAATCGGCCCTGAAACACGATGACTACATCAACAAAAGAGATAACAACATTATCGTTACAGGCTGGACTCCAGACAACATGGGGTTAGAATGCACATGGTTAAAAGCTCAAGCAGAGGCAGAGAGAGGCCTTGGTGCGACTACCACACTCACCGCGTTTCTCGCGCTGAAGACGCCGTGTCCCACACGATTTGCGGGCCACCGGTCCTAGTAATGCAGTGAGCATGCCGACGAGCGGTATTGGGAGGCTGGGGAAAAAAAGAAGTGCAACTAATTAAAATGCACTAAGGAATGGGAGGACTGGCAGGGGCGGGAAAAAAAGGAACTTACAAGCCATCGCGACAGATCTGCACACATATCGGCAAGATACGAACAGATCGATTGCTCGCGAAGCATAACCCGTGAGAATAGATGAACGAGTTACAACCTAACGCACACGCACGGGAAAATGATAGCTTGGTTACGAGTTACAAAAAGCATGTGTAGCACACCTTTCGGCGCTTTTCGCGCGGAACCTGGCGATTCCGTTACTAGTCGCTGGTGCCACGTTCTCCGCGTGTAGAAAACGTTGCTGTGTAATTTGTAAAAGGATAGGGGAGGATTCGCAGGGGCCAAATTGATAACATGGGTCTGAGATACAAGCAGTGGTTGACAAAATTAGAAGAAAGAAAGAGGAATGAACTAGCAGAAATGGGGATACAAATAGCAAACCCTAGAAGGGTTGTACTCGCTATAGAGCACCCCACTACAGGCTAGAACATAAGATAACATTTTGACACACCCCCATAGCCAAAGTGGGGTGTAATCAGCAGAGCAGGCAAAGCAGTACAAGCTCAGGGTGGATCACAATGTCACCACACATTCTGAGCACAAGTTCAAGAAGAAATAGTTTAGAGTGCACAATTATGAGCAAAGCTAGTGGTAGTCACAGCGGGCAAGTGAGGAGGAGGAGAGAGAGTGAGAGGAGAGGAGATAGAAGGCGGCGGCTGAAGCTGCAGACACACGGGCAACAGGAGTGGCGAGCACAGTGGCTACCGGACTAAGCGCCCGGACTACAGGAGCAACAGGCCCCGCGGCTTAAGCAGCGGCAGACGGGCAAAGGACCCACAGGCGACTGGCGCAGCGACAAGCTCACTGGGCTACCGGGACAACGCCCCGGACTACAGGTGCTGCGGACAACAAGCTGGCAGCCTCCACTCAACCTCCCGCAGACAGTCCCACCCCCCTGTTACACACCCACTGCTACACCGCTAGCTCCACTCCCACGCACCCCCCTTAAATCCTAAACCCAGTCTCCCACACATCCACCCCCCTCAGCGACAGCTGCAGCAGTGGGAGACGAAGGAGGAGGAGGAGCAAGGGAGGAAGGCACACCGGCCACCCCCATACCCGCCACCCCACAGCTCGCCGCGGCCCCCGAAGGAGCCGCGACGGGCGACGGGAAATGGCAGGGGGAAGGGGGGGGGGGGGGGGGGAGGGCGGTGTGGTGAAAGGGGCCCACCACGGGCCTGGTTGGAGGGCGGGGCCGCGACAAGGGGCGGGACCGCGACGGTCGGGGCGGGGCCGCGACGAGGGGCGGGGCCGCGACGTAGGGCGGGGCCGCTTCGAGGGGCGGGGCCGCGACGCAGGGCGGGGCCGCGTCGAGGGGCGGGGCCGCGACGGTCGGGGCGGGGCCGTGACATAGGGCGGGGCCGCTTCGAGGGGCGGGGCCGCGACGCAGGGCGGGGCCGCGACGTAGGGCGGGGCCGCGTCGAGGGGCGGGGCCGCGACGGTCGGGGCCGCTTCGAGGGGCTGGGCCGCGACGCAGGGCGGGGCCGCGACGTAGGCCAGAAGCCCGCCGTGCGCCTCGGGGCGCACAGCGGGCAAAGAACCGCCGCGCGCCTCGGGGCGCACGGCGGGCAGAAAACCGCCGCGCGCCTCGGGGCGCACGGCGGGAGGAAAAAAATAGCAGCGGAAGCGAGGTGGTAACCCACCCACAGGATCGATCCAAGGGGATCGACCTGCTCTGATAGCATGACAAAATTAGAAGAAAGAAAGAGGAATGAACTAGCAGAAATGGGGATACAAATAGCAAACCCTAGAAGGGTTGTACTCGCTATAGAGCACGCCACTACAGGCTAGAACATAAGATAACATTCTGACAGTGGTAATAAAATGCAATAACACATAGAAGTGATGTGGTCTTTAGGTAGACGCTAATTGTGCTAAGAGGACACTCAGAGGCAGGAGATGTGAAGAACCTTAGTCAGTTGTGTGAAAATGAGGTAGGTGACGGGTGTTTGGTCGGGAGAGAGTCATGCGCAGAGAGAGGGTAAGAAAGATAGATGCTTCTAGAGCTTGGAGGTGTGCTGAAGTGTCGTCAAAATATGTTGTTGATTTTTGCTGCAGGCAAGAGCACCCCAGTGATTGGTTAGTAAAAAATCATTAGGTTCGACCATTTCGTTACGGGTTAGCTGAACCTTGGTCCGTGGAAGCCACGTCAGTACCCGAAATCTGAACACTTAGCACTGATTGGGTGTGACTGTGAACCCTTGTGCCTGTTGCCAGCTCCGATTTCTGGTTGAACCTTGGCGACGGTCGTGCGGTTTGTATCCACGTTACCGTGTTCGCAATTTTCGAGAATGCTAACCTAATTTGTGCCAAGTGTTCATCTATCGGACACCTGCAGTTTCACAGCAAGGGAGACTCCCACATTTTGGTCGTGACCAGGTGTGCTGTTCGGTGCCGAGGTGTCGAATTTGATGCTAGAAATGTGCGGTCCGAGAAACCCACGAATCCGAAAATCACGCCTCGGGTTACCCACGTATCCAAAATTCGCGGCTCGGTTACCCCTTGTATCCTAAGTTTGTGTGAGTTGCTTTTTCCAGTCTATGCTTTTTGGATACATTCAGGATACAAGTCAGCAACTTTCGTGCAGCTTTCAGACTTTAACTCGAAAATTGGCCAAACCCTTTTTCGCGATGATACTACAAATAAAGAATAAACGGACAGCACAATCACTCAACTACCAGACCAGCTATCAGCACACCAGCTTCTAAACAACGCGAGCCTTGTGACGCTATGTCTTACTCGCAGCCCGACCCTCGCAGCAATACCCTCCGCGCATATGAAGACGAAGTGCTTGAAACACAGGAATCTGTCGCTGCTCCAACACCCAGTTTGTTTACACCTGGTCCTGGGGGTAGTACTACTATCGCGCGAGCAGGGCGAGGCCCTACTATTGTGCTGGATGACGACGAGCCGCTGAACCTTGCTGA